GCATTGAAAAGTCATTTATTCAATGCATAGTATATTTACTTGGCAGGCTATCTTCTTTTGATTTCCAAGTGTTTTTAGTCCCGGTTTAGATATAAATCTTGATTATGCAATATTATGTGTTATGTATGTCAAAAAAATTATGAAGACGTGCTAGAAATTTGTTTGTGGGTGAAACATTCCAAGAAAGTTGCTGCCGTAAACGTTTTAAAAATAAGCGAAATTATTATAATTGTTTTTTTTTGTATGATACCGTCGTTGCTTGGACCGAATTGACCAGTCTGTATTGGCATATGTGCTCCTGTGCAGATACCTCGTTATTGCCTGCATTCTAACTGTATTATTGATAGATCGTGGCTAGCAGTGGAATCCAGGATGCACATTTCGTCCTATTTGGGACTCGTCAGCTGGATGTACCTCCCTCTCAGTGAGTGATGATGTTCCTATCGGGAATCGGACTCGGAAGCGATCGCTTCAAACGCCAGGGCGTTATCCACTACACCATCGAACCACGATATGACGAAATGCGCATCTTGGATTCCACTGCTAGCCACGATCCATCATTAATATAATTAGAATGCAGGCAATATCGAGGCATCCGCACAGGAGTCCATATGCTAATAGAGACTGATCGATTCGGTCCATGCAACGACGGTATCATATAAAAAAAGCATACTAAAACTATACCCGTCATTCAAGAAGTGGCTATCGCGGCTCGGTGGTGTAGTGGATATGCCCTGGCGTTTGAAGCGATCGCTTTCGAGTCCGAATCCCGATGGGAAGATCACTCACTGGGAAGCAAGTACATCCAGCTAACGAGTCCCAAATAGGATGAAATGCGCATCCTGGATTCCACTGCTAGCGACGGTCTTCCATTAATAAGCGAAATTATTGTTATGTGACGGCTATAATCTCCGAAGAACTGTTAGTGTTTGTAAATGTGGCATAATAAAGCGACTGGAAATTGTGTCCAATTTCTGTCTTCGTAATACCTGAATACGTAGTCGTGGGTTTCGATACTACTCGAGGATGCGAAGCTCATGTCACAGAGTGACAGTATGCTGAAGGTAGACGATCATTGTTTTGCAGAGCAATTTACGTTTGGACCTGTCCATAATACCGGATATTTTAAGAGGAAGTTGCTTTTATGACAGTAAATTTGTAAATGACTGGCCAGTACTACCTTAAGTGTTGGCAAAGTGTATATGTAAATGATAAGTAATTGATCTGCCTATCAGGAGGCTTTTAATGCCGCTCTAGGTTTGGAGGAAGTGTGACAAATGTTTACTTGACATTTGGGAGAACTTAGGGTAAAATAATATGTGTGAGAACATATGCTGTGAAACCTGAAAAAATGACCGGGAATTCCGTGTCACAAGTTATACTGTATGTACATCATAGGGTAGTTGAGGTAGAGATCATCGGTGACAGCTACTTGGTATCCTCTCTTATATGTGTGGTATGTAGAGTCCATACCGACAACTTTCGGAAACTGCATTTTTATTTCTCGAGTTGCAAAACTAAACTTCTGTACTTCTTTTTCACTATCTAGAACATACCACACGAAACCTGTCTCTCGAATGTTTGTGAATTGAGGGTTAGGAATCTCTGAGCTCCCTATGAAAGGACGTCAGATTGGTAGGGTACATCAGTTCCCGAAATTCTCGATAGTCGTCGTAAGTCATCAGCTTCCCTAGCTCTACGTCAACCACATTAGTAATTTCCCCATAGTGGTGTATTCTGCTCGGTTAGCCATAGAATCGGCCTTTGCTATTCACTCTCTGAGTCTGAGAACTCCTTGTTCCACAGACATCACCGGCTCTGACGGCGACTCATAATTGTGTATGATGTTAACAGATTCGACAAATTCAAAATGCTCAAAATTCAGTGTAATTCAAAAGGTGAAGAAGCAGTTCGAGAACTTACTTCTGTATTGTAAATGCATTGCCTATTATTACAGTGCTTGCTATAATTTTCACTGCATGCTGCTTTGTAACTTCCTCTATCGATCAATATGGTAACGAAAAACAACATATTAGTACTTGTATAGTGGATCCATGTTATTGTTTTATTCACTTTATATGCAAAAATAAGGATGTTATAAAAACTGTTAATTTCCTTTAGCATTTTATTGATAATTCATTAGTTAAACAATCATTTTGTACACGCTTCACACTCATGTTGGTAAACTTTGGTTTCATACATGGTGACTGAATTTCGCTGACGGATACGCTGATACAACATTCTATGTGAACGACATTTTGATGCTACTTTTCCAATGCCGAGTGTTATACAGATGAATCTGTACAACGAAAAAACAAAGCTTACTAGTTGACAAGATTAGAAACTAGCGCTTTAGCTTCTTTGAGGGCAATACCGCAGTGACCAATGAGAAAAATGAAAGTCATTGATTTATCTCACGCAGGCGGAGTTATAATTACCTCCGGTGACTCACAATGAATAATTTAATTTTAAGATTAGCTGTTAAAACCATTTTGTCTTGGAAAATAATTTTCTAAAATTCCATGAAAGTTGTTTTTCAAAGTTTTACATCCATCAACCAAACGAATTTGAAGGATTCACCGTTAAGGTTTGTGAGGATTAATTCATTGATTTCATATGGGATTCATCATCGACAAACTTGCCTAGGTGACTAGTTCACTAGTTACTAGCCGGTCCTAAGCCCGAATATAAAGGGGAGATTGGGCATAGGGCTACTAGGAACCCAGGGAAAAAAATAATAATAGGTTATTTTGCTGAATTGGTTCTATCGGATTCTTAAGCCAGCAGACAAAGCTTATCTCTAAGTCAGTTTGTAGGTTGAAATACCACCCTCATTCCAGGTTTGTTGAGGATTCTTCGTAAAGTTTTTGATGTGCCTTCCTTGTAGGGTAACACAATGGAGGTTGTAAACTCTTTTCTATTTGTATTGTCCTTATTATTAGTACTCCTGTTACTGTTATTTTTCGTTTTTTTGTGTATTTGTACGGATTTTTTAATAAACTTCAGAGGGTAATTATTAACTATTAGTGCTTCTTTTATACGCTTCAATTCCTTGTTCAGGTCCTTGCAATGACTAGTCAGTTTTCTAGCTCAATCAGTTAGACACTTGACTAAGCTTGTCTTAACTGACATTGTATGAGATGACTTAAAGTTAAGATACCTGTTGGAATGTGTTGGTTTTCTGTAGATGGTAATATCCACGCCACCGTCTGTCTTTGTTTTTATCCTTCAGTCCAACACAGGTAATTCTCCTTGTTCATTTTCTACCTCATACGTGAATTAGATTGCGCCTAGTACTGAGTTTATGTGTGAGGAAATTGTTGATATGCTCTGATTTCAACACAGTAAATGTGTCATCCTCATATCGCCACCATATTTTTCGTGCAGGACTAAATGTTTGTAAGGCCATGTTTCCCTAACTGTCCATAAATATATCTACTACGATTGGGGATATATGTTCAAGAAATTAATACAAGAAAAATATCCGTCAGGAGATGATCAAATTACAAATTCAACATCATCAAACATCGATAGAACAAGGTGGATAGTAAATCACTCCTCGGGGACCCTAAGCTTAGCTGAGACGAAAGCACTCCATAAAGGACTAAACTTCAACGTGACAATAGGTCACCTAAAGCCAGAATATAGCATGTTTAGCATAGAAGTAGCGTTAAGCTCGGTGGACGCAACAACTGTTGAACAGTATGCGTTGACACTAAAAAGACAAAAGAAGAGACAAGAAAACTTAACAAAAGTTGAAAATTTAGCTCTGAATAATCTACGGAATGGCAACAATATAGTAACCGTTAAGTTTGATAAAGGCAATGCAACAGTAGTTATGAACAAGTTGGATTACTTCAAGGAAATTGACGAAAATATCAAAACAAGACTACATGAAGAAATCAAGAGGCCTTAAGATGTGGTCATGAATAAAAGTGAGAAATCTGCAACCGATCTGATACGCCGACTAAAGCCATCTCTAGATGAGTTTAAATAGTGTAATTTAATACCTAAGACTAATAAGGCTAGCAGAGTTATCGATAAGTTTAAGAAATGTCATACAAACGATCTCTGACATCATTTTTCACCTTTACTGTGTAAAGCAGAAGTAATCTCATGCATATATTAGTAGAACTATCTCATTTTAACAGGTATTATTTGTGTAAGGTGTATTTTTACTTGTGTAATCCCGGCGTAGTATATCAGAGCAAATAACAAAATATTAACCTTAAAACTTAATGTCAGACTAACACTCTTGAAAAGGATCCTCCCAGCAAGATCGAAACGTTGAAGAATTATAAAAAATATTTGCTTATTTTATTATTTGTTCTAATATACTACAGCGGGATTACACAAGAAAAAATATACCTTATACAATGAATCATACTAACTCAAGTTTTTCAGACCATGCAATTAGCTGTTGATCAGGATATCTTCAAGTATTATTTGACGAATATTCAAATTGCCCACACCTTAATGGTTCCAATACTAACGAAAAGTTAAACTGCTGGTAACTGTCTCCAAAATATTCTAGTTGTATGAACGAGTGAAATCAAAGTGGTCCATAATACAACCTATAGCATCTAAACCCTTGATACTTCGGTTATGGGATTCAGTGTTCAATACTATATTTTATTAAGGACCAATTAAAGCTAACTCACTCTCCAAATACATCACTATCCACTAAAGGCTACTTGCATAGACATTGAAAAATAATCCTACTAAATAGATCGCTGTTGTTTGTAATACTAGCAATTTGCAGTGAACTCAAATAATCCAACTCTAGTGTGCTCATAGTAGACATTCATACTCATAAAACAATATCCATTTGTATCACCAAGATATTTCAGAGTTAAGCAGAACAAATCTCCACTGACTTCTGATTTTAAATGATACTCCAATCGCTAACATAAAGCTGACAAAAACATTCCCAGTGTATGCGTGTAGAATCAACCATTTCACAATTGACGACTATTGAGAAAAGCAAAATGTGAACTTCATTTTTCTATGCAAACAGTTTACTTTTCTTCCAAAGTTCATAAAAAATTAGGTAATTTCAAAGAAATTTTAGCCAACATGATTTTACATATTTCAAATCAAAATACGTGAAAATAAGTAAACATCTTTCAAATCATATCAAATTTGTACTAAACAGTAGAAAAGTAACTTTTGATCTTGTCACTTTTCTATTCACTTAGATATTGTATAAGAAAATAATGATAATCAAAACAAATCTCATTCATTTATGAAGAAGATAATCTAAGGAGATTCACACCTAAAAAAGTTATCCATAGTAAAAATAAATAGAAATATGAGGGAAATATATAGGCAAAGAAAATTAATTGATTGTCAGTTGCACCTGGAAATCAATGGCTTTTTCATGCACATACACACACACACTTATACTTCACCATACTATTCCTGTTCCATAATTGATTGACCTTCTTTTTCTTTGTCAACTAGCGTCACAGACTGTTCAGGATTTGATGATGAACGGTACAGAATCCAGTGTTGAACCATAAACAGAATATCAAATGCGATGGATAGTATACCCAAGCCAAGTTTTACTGGGGATCCAGTAATGCTACTGATGTCATCTACATATATGAAAGGCAGCAGAAAAGGAAATGTCTGTGAGTACACTTTGCATCTGCATCTCTGTAAACTGCAGAAATGAACTAGTGAGAAGTCAAGCACAAAGCTGAATAAGGCAGAAATTTTGAAACAAACGTTTCTTGAGTAAAACAAGTTCACTGCAAACTAACCTTAATTAAAGAACTACATAAAAGCAGAAGCTTTAAACAACTGGTCTGTCATCGCTATCAACCTTTTAAAGCTGTGCATTCATGGTCACACAAAGAATGAACTAAACACCCTTAAATCTTATGACAAAGACATGGGCTGTAAGCAATTAAGTTGGATTTCGGTGGTCCAAACTTCACAGCCTGTTTCAGTCTGTCATAAGCATAACCATCATCCATAACAACTGGTGGGCATTCAACGTCCCCTCTGACATGACCGCATATAAAATGTACGGGTTTGCGTTATTAGCTGTTCAAACTCAGTACTGATCTTCTCTAAATATGATTAAAATATCACAGAAATATTAATTATGAAAGTAATTGCTGCATTCTACTCATGAGAATAGACTAAAGTTGCGCAAAACAATCAGTTGTAATCTTGAAAGTCTTGTGTTCCAAAACCACTGTTGATAAGGATAATAAATATAGATTATTTCTGAGCCCACATTATGAAGGCAATTTAAAGAATAACAATTTGTTCTATTCAAAGCTTATTTTAAATGCATTAAAGAAGCGCTGACACCTCCCATTAGGAAGATCTAGACAGTCTAACTGACGGACAAATATTAACGTTTGGATTGAGTTGAAAAATGTAGCTAACAACTGCTAGGAAGCAGATAAATCAAACAACTTCTACAGTAGTTATTAATGGTGGCTAACAGTGAAATGCAGAACATGCGTCTCTCCTTATTTGGAACTCATGAGCTGGATATACCTGCTTCGAGTGAGAAGTGTTTTTCCCACTGGAACCGTAGCCGGAAACCGATCATTTCAAATGTTAAAATGTTAACCATTAGACCATCAAGCCATGATAGGCACTTGTGCAGTGGGTATAGTTTTTATTTCAGCCACTGTCCATCATTACTATGAAATTGAAACGATATGTAGTATCGAGGTATTCGTGTAGGAGCTCAAATGCCGATGGAGACTGATAAATTTGGTGTTACAACGATTGGATTATACAAGTAATAACATTAATTGTCAAAATGTTGATACCTTTGATAAATGGGCGCACCATGATTCGTGTAAACACTCTGCCGTAGTGAAAATGTGACATTTCCACATCTTTCCTAATTTCCGATTTTCTCTGATATGAGAATCCGTTTTTAAAAAGAACAGATAAGTATGTTCTGCAACCATAAGTGACTCTACTGAGTTATTTCAACATGGTATTGATAAACTATAAATATGTATCAAATGAATGAAACGCAAACTCGCCAGTAGATGAAAGCAGTAGCAAGTGATTGAGGTTGAAGAAAAGTTAGTCATTCTTAACAGCCCTTAAATGTTTGATTTTATTGAAACATGTCTGGAATACATAATAATCAGATGATTGTTAACTTTGTTGACATCTCAGAATAGCTTGTAAGTGGGAAGTCTGAAGAGAAGGACGTTGTTTGTCTTCAGTGAATGGATAGTTATCTACTTTTATGTTTCTATATGTTTGTTTGATAAGTACCCTGTCCACCTGATTTCTTGTATTTTTGACATGGTGTGCTTGTTGTCACATGCTGCTAACCAAGTTGTACTGCTCCTGTTTTAAGACTTGTTGAGCGTATATGATGTTGAATAGAAAGACATTGAGGTATATTTATAAGATTACAGTTGTAGGTTCTAAGCCTACAGTAATAATTGTATTTAGCCAAGTACAAAGTAAGTTTGTAAGGTCTAAGATATGTGGACGGTATCATCATATAGTAATGAATTAGACTGACTCATTATAAAACCATGGTTTGGCACTCACCTACTGTTTGGACTTGCAACATATGCTGCTGTTTATCTGTCTAGTCTTAACTGTAACAGCTACGCATGTTTTGTCAACTTCTATTCTGATTTCATGTTCTAACTGAAGTGTAATTAATCTAAATTAAGACTAAAGTTGTAGTTGTCCTTGAAAGCTTTCATCGTTGTCTTACGTAGTACAGACAAGTGTAAGCTATCTAGGTTCATAATAGCAAAGTAACTAAAATGGTTATCTGAAGATGTAACTTATAGCTGTTTTGTTGAATCTCCTAATAATCATTACTTTGATTTTCTTGTCTTTTATTTTCCTGAATTCCCTGATGTTATTCATAAGTGAAATGCAATCATAGTTTATTTGATTTTGCGGCATTGACAGGTTATTTTTGTGTACGTAACAGTATATCATAAAACCAAAAAATAAAAGCAATGTATAGTAATGATGGGTAGTGGCTGGCAGTGGAATCCAGGATGCGCATTTTATCCTATTTGGGACTCGTCAGCTGGATGTACCTGCCTCCCAGTGAGTGATGTTGTTGCAGTGGATAACGCTTTCGCGCTTGAAAACATCGCTACTGAGTCCAAATTCCAGTGGAAACAACACCACTCACTGACAGGGAGGTACATCCAGCTGACGAGGCCCGAATAGGACGAAATGCACATCCTGGATTTCACTGCTAGCAAATGCCCATCATTACTATACATAGTTAAAACAGGCAATATCGAGGTATCCACACAGGAACCCATACTCCAATAGAGACTGATCAATTAGGTCTAATCAACGACGGTGAAATACAAACGATAACATTAATAAAAAGCAATGTTGCTTACTGTTATTATATGCTATAATACCCATTTGAGCAAGGCTAAGTATTCCACCACTGAAATCTAGTACAATATTGCCAATACTCCATCCAACAGTACTTTTTCGACGGAAATTCATGATTGCCTGAAAATAATAATCATAATAATAATAAACATGTTAAAATTTGCACAAAATATTGCTCATATTTATTTAGACATATTTATGTAGGTGAACGGAAGAATATAAAATTACGACATATTATATCGACTGCCTCCAAAAGACTAGAAATAACGTTTAGTAAGAATGAAATCTTTGAAGTTCATACGGTAACATGTTCATTGTTATGTAAATACTTCAACCCTCAGTGTCATTCAAACAAGTTGGACATGAATTAAAAAGCTGATAAAAGAGCCATATACAAGACATGGAGTCTGTTTATTTACTCTTTAACAGCGTATATTAACTGTTGAAACAAACAATAAACACTGGTCAAAATAGACACCCTTCCATTACATAAGTTCAAGAAAATTGATTGATACAAAGATGATTTTCATTAAAAATACACAATCATTGAAGAATGCAAAATCAATCTAACTTAGATTATCTCCTTAATTCATACTAATGACTTTGTATGGTATCACATATTATTGCGAATTAACCGAACGATTTTGGCGAATAAAAGTAATTGAATTAAAGTCTACATACTCATCTGAAATGGTCAAAGCACAAGAACAAAGCGTATTAAGGTCGCTCTTAAATAACATCATGTATGCGCATCACTGAAGATTCCAAAATTTGAAAAATGCAACTTTATAGTGCTGTAAAGTATTGAGCACTTCATTAACTGAAAATACTTTTGTTAATAAGGACTACCTTAAGATAAGTACAGACATTCATCAACAACTGCCTACGCTGGCTGGTCGCTGAAGCTCAGATGGCCAGAAATAATAAGCAACAAGGAATTCTGACATGGCGACGTACCAACCAAGAACGTATCGCTCAGTAAATATGCAGAAGGAAGTAGAGATGGATTAAGCATGCACTGAGAAGGCCATTTGGTGACATCACGCGCTAGGCTGTCAAGTGGAACGAAGATTTGGAAACGACGAGTTGGGCTTCTAAGGGTGACATGGAGAAGATCATGTGAGGAAGATATGAGAGCTTATGGGCTGTCGTGGAGCCAGGTTCAAAAGACGTGCTACTGAAGCCCTATGTTCCACTAGGAACCCAGGGGACAAATAATAATAATAATATAATAAGATAAGTACTTTTTTGTTGACATGTTATTTGAATTTCATTCAATCCCTAACAGATATTTTAAAAATGCCCTGATGACATTGAAGTAGACAAAGATGTAAACGTATGATAGATCGGTATGCTATTAGAGCCTTGTGTTTCAGTGAAGTAAAAATGGTCAGTTGTACAACTTTACAAACACTATGAACTCATTTGATTGTGATGCTTAAGTGTAATATAGCCCATTAATCGATTACGCATGATGTATTTTCAGTCAGAAGATCAGATACATTGATAGATAGAATGAAAATCATAATTTTGTGTATTTGAACTAATTGCAATGCATAAAAACTACATTTTGATAAATAGTTAAGTCTTAGTTTTGGCTGAGTTTAATGTTACATAGTACTGTGCTATGATTCAAACTAAAAATGAAGAATGGCACACTAATTGATATTCGAAAACTTCAGTCTTAATTTATGCTAAAAAGGTGGGTTTTAGTCATTTGATAACACTTTTTTTGTCTGTTAATTAAATATATCACACAATGAAGGAACAGTATCATTTACTGGATAACGTTTTGGACACAATTTATTGTCCATATTCATGTCAGGTAACTCCACAACTTTGAGAGGGACTTTATATATTATTAATTTTCTCTCCTTCTTTGTGATGATAAGGGTAGTAGAATTTTCCACATATCTGGGACTCAGCAGAATCACTTCGATTGCATGTATTAGATGTTGGCTCAATAAACAAAGATTCGGTTATCAATCTCTCCCTCCACCCATCTAAGCTAGTTGGTTAGTCAGTCAATTAGGTGGAGCAAATGGAGCTCACTGTTGCTTATTATTACAATATTTAATTTATGATGTCTAAGTTTTCATAGAATGTTGTCTGTAATTTATCCTACGGTAAAACCCAGCGCACAAAAATATAGCATCACTGAGCTTGGTGACATAATGGAAAGTTGATCAACAAAGTCCTCTCAATACTAAGGAGTTGATAGATTTGTCTTAGTGACTGATTTGTTAACATCATTGAAAGGCTGATCATCTGCTTCACTTACCATCATCATCATCAATAAGTTGTATAGAAACGGTAGTTGTTCAAACTAAATATAATCAGTGGTAACAGAAAGTCTCAGGTGGATAAACCTAAACATGATTTTATGCATATTCGTCGAAAATTTAGAAACAAAGTCACCACTATTGGTAACATCCACTTTCTATTTATATACATTTACTTGTTCTTGTGGAGCTGGGTACGTAGGCTATATCGGCAGGACATTCAAGATGTGCTTACCAACATGTACATGTATTGTTATCGAAAACAGAACCTAGATCGATAGGCATGTAGTTCTTTCAGATTACGCACCATTTCTATATAATTCAGTTTATATGATGTATACAAGATGAAATCAAGCCATTCAAGGGGATTTCGAGTACTTTTTCTCTGCACAACAGAAGCAGTGGATATTGACAACTAGAAACTTAAATTCAGTGTACATAAGCTTTTTCCCAGCCTCTTTTTCAGCCTTGGCCTTAATTTCATAATTATTTGATTTCACCTAATACGTTTTCATCCAATCCACTTCTCTTTTATTTGCTATACCTTGGTTTTATTGACTAAAATGGCTATCACTTTTCTGTATATAATATTCTTGTTCGCTGCACTCCGTCTTGGTAAAGCAAGAATAAGGATTCTGAGCTCGATTCACTATTCTATGTTTTCATCTGTTTGTTACGTAAGACTGGGTTGTTGCCCTCTGAATTGTATTATTTCTATCTTCCAGTTGATGGTTTAATACAATTTGTAACTAAATGGCGTTGATGTTTGATCCTTGTTAACATTATTCATTATGCTGTGCAGCTATGATGAAAAGTTACTAAAAGAGTCCTCTTTCGTGATCAATGTCTTTCTAATAGTAGTAACGTAATTAGTCTAAGTAGTGAAGTCTCTGCACTCAACAATGAACGAAACATTTCCAAGCCATCAAAAATGTACCAGTTTCTTGAAGATCAGAGATACAGATTGCTGATGAGTGCCAAAAAGCATGAAATCAAGAACTAGATATTCCTACTGACCAACTTCTAACATCCTAAATGAAAAAATTCTTTTCTGTGACATATTTAATGTTCGGGCTGAATAATGATGGTTTCCAAGGTCAGTAAGAACCAGTCATGAATGAAAATACCATTATTGTTACCAGCTGATAAAACACATAGTTCCACTGAGGTGAATGTGGTTTGGGAATGGTGTAATTTTAGGCATTGTGAATATGCTTTTCATGACCAATTATTTCACATAAGATAAAGAGAATTCAATCGGAATCATTGACTGTTTTGCAATTTTTATTTTGTCAATAATCTCACACTGATATCCGTGCTAAGATACACTAAACCAACTTAATTTATAACAACTGAAGTTACTGTTAAAGACAGAACCAATATTTAAATTCTGCTAGGGATTTTTTTCATCTTCAAAATAGAAACCCCATAGTCTACACGCATACTTTATCACCAGACGATCGTTCACAAGAGACTCAGTTCAATAATGTAATAGTATAATTTGGACAGTGTGGGAGATTGTACATTCAATTAATTTTGCTCGTCAGATGTGTCACACAGCGTAACCACTTCTATTCCCCAGATACTGTCGCTGTTTTAATTTTCTTGATTTCATAATTTTTTCATCAATTAACTTTCCCTCACTAGATTGGTGTATCACGTTGTTTTGTTTAAAATGTTATACATAGGATTATTGAAAAAATTACTTTTCAGTCCCCAGTTTTGTTTCCGAAAAAATTTAGTCTCCCTATGTAACATGCAATGCTTGTTAGGTGAAGTATGTAGGTCGACCATATTTACCCTGATGATCAGAGCACACAAATGTCTGTGAAAGCTTAGGCTAAATAATCCAGAAGAGATTTAGCCATTGCTATGCATGAGCTGGTAAACACACGATAGAAATGTGATAAAATCTCGAGGGTAACGGAACCAAGGTTTTGGAAAAATATTTTAGGTCATACAAAGGAAGATTGGCCATCGACAGTGCACACATGTGATCAAAGACAAATAAATGAAAAAGATAAAATGGAGTACAGTTAGCACCTTTCAGCAGCTATTAATTATAAAGTATGGAGCACCAGCGTTGAATTCACTTTCTTCACCAGTCTCATATACATTGCCATTTTAAAAAAAAACATTCATGAATAGTATTTATTTCTGCTTTACATAGCTAAAAGACAACGCAAACTTGTTAGTATCAATTGATTCATACTTACTGGCATAAGACATATACTTAGCCGTCTTTCATGTCTCATTGTATATATATATATATATATATATATATATATATATATATATATGATTGTTATAAGTGTAAAACATGAGCACTATGGTAGAATATAATTTCATATTAGATTTGTTCATTTGATTAATAACGCACAGTGCTACAGTACTATTTATTATTGTTAAGTAGATAATACTGTATCACTGTGTGTTAGCAATCAAATACAAATATAATAACACAATGGTTATGATGTCATCTTTGACCTATTTGTTTTGTGAAATCAATGAATTTGGATAAAAATATGAACAAAGACGAATCACAGTAAATGCGATTTTATGGGTTAACTATAAATCATGCTTAAAAACAATATTTAAGAGGTATAATTGCTTGTATTATACCGTCATTGATTGGACCGATTTGACGGTCTTTATTGGCATATAGGCTCCTGCGCAGATGTCTCGGTATAACCTGTGTTCTAATTACAGGAAGCTTTAGGCAAGAAAATTAGGCATTCATTACTTCGACTTTCGATGTTATAATTTTGAGTATTTCCTTGAAGAGGCTTGCAATAGACTTTCACATGGAATGCTGAAGTTACATAAATACTATGCAGTCAGGCTCAGTATTGAAGAGAAAATGAAACATATGCTTCAGAATAAACATCACTAGATAGATGGTTACGTCACATCCTGTTTTGTATACCATCTTACATGTGTGTGCTGTAAAAATACATTGGGAGGAGTAGTCGAACAATAGTTCAACTATTAGTTTAAGTGACAGATTATATCCTTAAATGGTTGGAAAAACAACTGATAAATACAGGAGGCAGACAAACGCCATCGTCTATAGGTAAATATACTATACAAACAGGTAATAACAGCCTTTAAATCATTGTACTTTAGCTGTCAGGACAGTCAGTTTACATTTATTGACACCTTAGGCACATGAACAGCCAACCCCTTTTTGTTTATTCAAAAATAACTCATGCTTACCTTAAACTCACTATGATAGTTAATATAAGAGTAAAACTTGAGGGCTGTAGTAGAATGAAATTCCATTTTACTTCACACCGTGGAACTGTAAACAATACTGTTTAATACTGTTTAGTACTCATAAATCAATTAGAATGGAACCATTTGGGTAATCTTATGTTATTTCAATACCACGGGAGGTGTGAAAAAATGTATTATTCAATCCTCATTATCTGTTATTCTTTCAAATCTGGTTTTATCCTAATTTCGTTGCCTTACCATTCTCTTTTTCACCTTTCACATAAAATGGCATGACGAGTAAGTATGTTCATCAGTTTGATTATCTCAAACTTGGATTGATACTGAGTGATAACTGAAGATGAAATGAAAATCTGAGTCACAGTAGGATTCAAATCACTGACATTCAGTATCTTCTATTCATCTACTAATTTCTTTGTTATTGTTAATCTTTAGCTGACTCCTGCCATCACTTTGTTGATAAGTTTGATAAATTACAACATTATCTAAATCTGTAACGTCTAAGTTTTGTAAATTTTTCTGTCTCTACAGTCGTGTTCTGTGGTCATGATGACAGACACTTACCATGTTAATTATGGGTTACTATAAAGCTCACCTTAGAAACAACTGAAATGACCAATAAGTCTTTGTGATTTCGCCTAGAAAAGGAATGTAATTGGCTGTCTCATTAGTTGCTAAGGTGACCTTTAAAGTCACCTTTAATTATACACGGAAAGCTTCCATTCAAAGTGAATTTTCCAACTTTGAAAGGCATTTGAGCATTCAGATACCTGCTGTATTATGTGAAGTTTGAAAAACTTGATAGTTTTTGCATAGAAACGAAGAATTAGTAAAGATGTACAATTGCTTAATTTTCATGTAATACAGAATGTAATTTTTTTCAAATTAAGGCGCAGCATTACAAATACAGCGTAATCATCACGACAGCATTATGCATATCGTGAAATTATAGGTCATTTCATTGCTAAAATAATTACTGCTAAATTTCCAGTTTGGATACAATTTTCAGCATCGTCAAATTACTATGAGAAAAAGTTAGATTCATATGGTGTTTGTTTAGTAGTCTCACTTTTCTTCAGACTTGTTACCTGAATGAATCTGTATTGCAGTAAGATGTATACTCATTGCAAACTACTCTCAAACAACATAGTTCAATGGAATAGGATGGTGATTCACAACAACTAAATTGAGTGCAAGCTCATAAATAGGTCATATGCTCCTTCTCGTGTTTCTAAGGTAAACTAGTACTTAACGACATGAATTCCAGTAAATAATCATTTCATTGTGTGCACGTTGAGTAAGTGACACAAAATGGATGAATAAATTTTGAAGCCTTGGGAAAGGCAGTAATCGAATATGACGAATATGCACTTCTTACATAAAATCCAGTTCCGGTCTGGATAGCACTATCAGATGATTTAACCGCAGATGTCGACTTCCATAATTAAATCTTGTGATCTATGCATGAAACCATTTTTAATTAACACTACCCATGACAGTAATCAACAGTCAATTAATGCATTCTAGTGGAAAACAGACAAAGGAAACGCTTACATGTGTTCAATCATTTCATGAATCTTTAGGTTATCTCATACCGAAATGTGTACTAAAACAACAAATTGACTGAAAAATTAATTAGTAAAACTCGGACATTAAACATGTTTTTAAGAAACGAGAAATCAAAAGCTATGAAATCTAAGGCACTGCCTGAGGAAATATACTGTACTGAGACAAAGACGGTTTTCATATGAAGAGTTTTTGAAAAAATTTTGGAGTACTTTATATCACGGATAAACAGTGTCTTTCGAACGGATAAAAAACATAGAGCATAGAACAGATATTTCGCCAGAGATTTGAATTTTATAACAGCGGAACATTAAACTTATTATTTGTGATGAGTCATTCAAAAGAAGAAAAGTTGGGACCATTGACCACCATGTGGTGGCCTTAATCTTGACTCCACGTAGGTTTATAGATGGGTGGTGTTGAGTAGCTTCATACTGGAATGAAACAGCAGTCTAGTATTCCCTTATTTCTAATGGTTCTTTAAATTGTGTAGATTCATGAAAGAAACTACCTTGAAACGACAGATGGGTTTTTCGCAAGTATCAAGTTACTCAGTACTCGTTAGGTATTTCACATAACAGCGATTAAACTTCATGAGCTGTTTGTTGCCTATTGCTTGACAGTCAGTTACCATAATCAGTATGGGCAGATAAATAACAAGTCACTAGTCGAATAAATCACAGGTTATTGCTTGATAATTGTATTGCTCACCCTTGATACTGACCTTCAACTCACTGTGTTGTGGTCTACTCGGTCTCTAACATTGGAAACCAAGAGGTATGTTTCGTCCTGTTTGGGACTCGTCAGTCAGATATATGTGTACTTCAGGGATAATGCTCTGGCGTTTGAAGCCGTGGGTATCGGGCTCAAGTCTCAATGGAAACGAAATCACTCACTGGAATACAAGAAAATACAACTGGCGTGTACTGAATAGGACAAGATTTGCGTCATAGAACTCCCTGCCTGACACTTAGCATACAATTTACAGATTAGTTTGTTAGATAACTTTATAAATGTTACTGTACATTCCAATACGAATATAATGTTGAAAAATACTGCTTCATATTCCATGACAACCCTTCATGTCAGTCATATTAGGTTTCAAGTCAACTAGATAGATTTGTATAATAAATACAATGTCAAGAGAAAGAACTCGAAAGACTTTTTTGCCATCTTTCTAGAAGGTACTTCAATTCACGGTGGGAAAGTAACAATGAAAAGGGGACCCCATAAGCATTTCTTTTTTTACTTACCTGTGGTGCATACTTGACAAATGAAATGAATAATTTGACATGAGATAATAGATAAAACGTATCCAACCAGATTACAACATTAACTCCACCAAGTATGCAAACAATCACTGAATAAACTATTATTAATCCAATCAATCCCAGACATAATTTTGAAACACGTTGATCACCACGCTGAAAAGAAATTAAAACATTTTCATTTTAAAGAACAGAACTAGAAAATAAAAAGATATAATCTTTCGGTTTTCATAATTAGTAAAATGAATAGACTTTGAAATCATACTGGTAAGTTATCTAGTGAGTTGATAAGATGATTGGAATAAAATCGATTAAGCATTCCTTTTTATAATTACATTAAAAAAAAGATATTTCATTGTAAGAGATAAATATGAACAAAAATTTTACATTTTTTGATCAGATAATCATATATCATTTTTTCTATTGAATATTCTGGTGAATTCCTTTTTACCCGTTTCAAACTTTATTAATGTCAATAGGTAAGGATTACAAATGAACTTACATACCTGTCTGTATTAATGATAAGAAACTATTGACAGAGTAGAGTATAAAATACACTTAAAATATAATAATTTTAAGTGAATATGGTTGAATAATATTTAAAAAATCTGAGGTGATCTGAAATCCACTGAGCAACTTCTTATGCATATTCGTGTCATAGGTAATGAGCCGAACCTTTTGTTTGAGAGTTAATGATACTACCTGGTTAGCCAAATCTAGATTATATTATTATTTGTCCCTTAGGTTCCTAGTGGAATATAGGGCTTCAGTAGCACCTCACCAGTGTACTCTGTTCTTTGTAATCTTTTGAACCTGGCTCCACGACAGCCTAGAAGCTCTCATTTCTTCTTCACCACGATACTCTTTCATATCACCCTCACCTTGGATGCCAAACCCATCGTTTCCTATCTGGGTTCTACTCGAATGCCTGGCGCTTGATGTCGCGGGATAGTGGAGTTAATTTAGAATCCGTAACATATCTGCTAGTAGTTGAGTGCCTAGAGCAATAAGCCACAGCTTCTTGTTAAGAAATGGATAAGAGTGTTAATTTTTTTCGAAATAAGAGATTGAAATAATCAATGATTTCTTGTCATTTTGATGAAATTGTTTAAATTATTGTAACATGTATACATTTTGATAAAGTTTAGGCAGCACTCATCTTTGAAAAACTCACCAGAATAAAAATGTGTGCCCTTATACAACTATTTTTTATTTATTATTTTTCCTTTTTTTAGGGTGACTAATCGGAAGATGCAGTGCTAGAATAAGTTGGATAATTTGGAAGACGGTTCAGGGTGAGCAGAATAAAGACGTGACACCACTGCATGAACTCCTTGACTGTTGGTCCGATCGGTACAGAGAGGTGTCGACTGCCTTCCTGAGGTCTCCGGGACGACAGGAACTGGTTATTGAGGAGTTTTGGTGGAACTGCTAAAAATCGGTCACAATGGAACAGATATATTCACTCTTAATGTTTAAATTCCCTCTCCACTTATACACGTTTGTCTACGTTGATATCAGTCTTTTTCTATCTACTTATTTGTTTTCTACTACTGTGAAGTGTCGCAACTTGAACCGATGGACTTTTGTGAAAAGTTGTTAGCTAATTTTGACTGTCCGTGGGTCTGAATATTATCTTTGGAAAAAAAGAAGAAATTTGTTTTTGATCGCAATAGAATCACTGTGTACGTGCCTTCTCTGAATGTCGAAACCGGATATCCATTGAATTGGTAGCAACTCGATCGTCTATGGATTATTGATGTGTTTATTTTAGAAATGCTTTGGATTAGTAATAGTTATAGATTCTGATGGTAAAATGATGGTTTACAACAGAATAATAACTAGAAAGGTGGACTGATACTAAGTGAGAGTTTCAAATTTCATTCAGCTGGTAAAATAGTGGTAGTGAAGTCTTGGATACTCTGAAACACTGTGTCATGTTAGATGTTAGCGTTACGTCGGTAAGAAATACTGTTTGAACTATCGAGTGAGCTTGTTCACAGTCACTGACGCTAAACTTAAGCATCCTTCTAAACAGTTCATATCCCTGAAATCAAGTACCTTATAAATAAGATGGTTAGCTTGCTCAGTATTAACCTTTATTACGCTAATTTATGATGATAAAATCGGTAAAGAAGTAGTGATTACTGTGGCTATCAAATCCAAGGTAATTTCAGCATCAAACTTCAAAAAATACAGTTGAATACAGTATTGGTGGCCTGTTTAAACATTTTTCTACCAAATGCATCATATCAAATTGTTCCCTTTGAAATTATTTTAACCACTTATATACGTCGCTTAATCGTAGAGTGTACTCTAGGGCATTTTTAAAGTCTTTTCAAACTGCTACTTTGCTAGTAAACAATAAAATTTAAAAAAAAAACATTACCGTATATGGTAAGGAGCTATTTTTAAGCACATAACAGTGCATCATATTACTATTCCTGAAGTAATTATCCCAGATTGCAAATTTTCGCACTGGTTGGATGAATCATCACCCTCATCGAATTTACGTACGTCTTATTATTCATTTCCCACCATCAGACCATCAGATGAGAATCCTACAGCAGCTGGTCGTTACACATGATTGTTTGTAATACTGTTACTGTCAAAATTATTGAGATGCTGTAGTTATTTCTTGTCGGAATAATAGACAGGGAGTAAACTCGTTGGAATACTGTGTTCTAAAAATCTTATGCTAGACCAAACACGTTGTCTGGAGAAAAGTGTATACCGTTGTTATTGTTACTATTATCACTTAGTTAAGTGTCTGCATCATGAATTTCAGTGATAGAATTAAAGACATGCAAGTTTCGTCGGTCACCATCTAGTGATTGGATTTCAAGTTAAGTGGCATAAACTTTACAGAAAGCAGCTAATCGAATTATGCGTATTCTAGCACAAGTGTTCCACTCATTCAGTAACAGATTGTTCTAAGGAGAGATAATTTTTACGTTCATTTTTAACAAAATTATTCCATAGGATAATAGACATTTATATCCTGTAGAAATTCGTTTTTCTGTTCCAGTATATTTCCATGAGAGTACACTTACACAGTTGTAATGAGGTATGTTGTAAATATGTCATCTAAAATTGCTCCCATGAAAATTTCATTTAGTCAGGTTTTTTTATGTTAGGAAGTTTATATTATTAGAAAAATATTCTGTAATTTGTTTAATTTTGAATCCACTGGACATTTTAGCTGGTAGTGTTTACATGAGACGGGTAATGTCATCCACCTTCACTTCTGTCCTATATATTTTTTTTAGTGTAATAACAGTAAAATCACACTGTATTGTCTTTCTGTTTAATAACTGAGAAGTGTGTGGTAAAAACAATTGAGTTCTTTTTTAAAACAGTTGTTCTGCTTACCACACATTTAAACTAGTCGTCAGTATATTCAAACAACAAGTTATTGAACCTTGATCAATTATTAACTGAAACAAGACGAGATTTGTATGAATGACTGCCCTATCATTTCGATAAATAACACAGAACAAAGTGCCATTATTCAAATGCTATTTAAAGCTTTTTGGAAATAAGTAATACTTGATCACCCTAGTTAAGAATACAAAGGTATTCTAAATAATCGATCTGCAAACTATTGGTGGTAACCGGTAAATGACAGTGCGATATACTTATCCTTATATAATCTAATAAAATCAATCACAGTCAATAGGAACACTTTACGGCACAATATACAAAAATTGCAGACTGCGTTGTAATCGTCAAAGACTTAAGAAGTTTCATGAACACAGTGAGTTGTCCCGTAAACATAGAATACATTTTAACAATTCAAATATATTTGTCAACAAATATTTTGAACATATACTAAGTCAAGTAAAGCCCTTACTACCATTCGTTTATTGTATGTTTAAAGGGATGGGAATAATGGAAATTTTGCGATTTATTTCAATAAGTCAATGCTGAGTAGAACAATTACTACATAAAAATAATCTGCTCATGTTAGAAGATTTGAGTAAACTTAGGTGCATATCACTAAATTTATTAACTAGAAGCCTTATTTTCTCTTATCACTACATTTAGAATCATATATACGTATTTCGTGATGTAGCAGACATGAAGTAAGATTGTGAAGGCTTCATTCTTTCACGTATATCTTAATACATGTTTGGATACTTTGTATTCCAAAAGATCAATGATATTCAATCGTGTATCCTTAGTGTAGTCCATATATGCTAAATAAAGACAGAAGTATACTCTCTAACAAACATGAATTTATTTAGAAAAAAAATTAATCCAGTTGCTATTTGAATAGACAATTCCAATGATAATTAAAAACTGTCTACCTTATACTAGCAGTAACATTATTGTCAGTTTGCTCGGATCTATCTCTTGAAACATCGATATTACGAAAAGACTTCAATTAGAGAATACTTAGAAGATTGTTGCCATTTTAGTTATCTGTGTCACAGAGAAACGATAAGGTCCAGCAGAATCATAATAAAACTGATTTTTAAATTATAAGTGATTTTGGATGACACTGGTAAGCCAACTGAACAAAGGATATATATGTCACTATAAGTTGATATTTAGTAAAAAAATATCTTCAAAAATTATGTATATTTGTTAGAAAAGCAGCGACATTTCAATAGATATATAGATAAGCAAATATATACAGTCGTCAGATAAATAACGTCATGAAAACAGATTTTAAGCTAACCTCGTAAATCAGAATCTGAAAGGCTGTGAGTGATGATATAGCCAGTGCATGAAATGCGAATACTAAATCATTTATCTGAACAGGTATTGTACTCAAAGGATTTCTTTGTAAATACTGCTTCTATAAAAGTCATAGAAACAGATATATATATATATATATATAAATATGAGAGGTGAAAATAATCTGCATATAACAATGTCAAAATTTATAATATTTATCATGCTGTCTCTATAATTTTCATTTTTACGACAATTCAGTACAATCAATGGACTTTTACTTTATGAGTAAGCTATGGGGTTTTAATAGTTCTTTTGTCAATAACACAAATGATAACATCTACTAAGTAAACGCAGCATCACAAATAATCACTGTAATTGTCATGATTATAAGCTTCACTTCAGAAAACTATTCACAGTTCTACTAATCCAGGTTGAATTCATTTCCTTTGGCATAAAAATCGGGTTTAAACTGTAACTATTCACTTGCATCCCCTTCAAGAGTGTTTCTGAATTTATAAGGGAGCACTTTTATTACTTATTTCTTTACAATATTTCAATTCTTCTACCATTCTATTTGCTAAGCATATAAGTTAGATTTTGCTAAATAGATACGAAATCGGGTTGAAATCGGAAAAACCACCGACAAAACCTAATAACAATCCTGGCTCATAGGGTCAGTTGGTACTCTATACTCAAGAGTGCATCCATAGTAAGTGGCAGGTAGTTATTATTGAATTTTTATTCAATTGAACTGATTTAATTTAGTTCAGTATGAAATATACACAAGAAATGAGTTCAATTGTTATGCTTGTTGTATATTACCATGTGACTTGGACAAAAAGACTTCTGGTTAACCAAAACAAGAGTTCAGTTCTCCATGCGCAACAATAGTGAAGTTTAACTGAATACAGCAGTATCCCCTTTTAATTACTGTTCATCTGATTTCGTACAAATACAACTTGATTAAGTGACTCTTCTTGATAAATACTAACATATCTGATACATCTGATACAATGAAAAATTTCTTCGAGCACACCAATCTGAAATCTTTATCAAAAAAGCAAACTTTGTTGAGAATCTAGTGACCTTATCAGCCATCGGATCAAATCGCATATGGAACTTATTTACACTGAAATCAGCATTTCCTACTTCCTGCCTATTCAAAACAATTTTGTAAAAGAATGTAAGATACTTTTTTATAATTTAGATGCGACGTACAATCCTTTATCTGCTAAAGTAATAAGCAGGCATATAAAAAACTCCACCAAAATGTTTCAAGAATGCATTCATTGTTTCACCGAAAAATAAAATGGAATTAACACATTCAACATTGATGTGAGTGGCAATTTTAACCGGCCTGCTTAGAATCGTATTCATTGTACACAGATTACAAATCGCTCTTAACAAAAGCCTCAAATGCACCTAACCTTGAACTAATAACTTCCAGAAAGTGAATCAAGTATTTCTCCAGCAGCAGAGTTGTGACAGTGGATTCCTAGTAACAGTTCATCTTCACTTTCAGTCATCATCTTGTATCATGTAGATAGAATAGGTGTGAATAATAGTTCGTTAGAATACTCAGGAAAAATGGAAACGCTGAAACCAGTGAAGGTGTCTCATCTGTCACCTCAATCCACGAAGTACTGAAACGGCAAACTGAGACATTCCACTTCAAGTTTTGTTTCAAGATCCTATCATAAAATCTGTGCTTTAAAAGTTGAGATATCCGTGAACAATCACGGGAAAATTCTGATGCGTGTTTCTTTTTAATAGTGCGTTTTGTAAAGTAATTTAATGCCTTTGTATAAATGAATGGCCTTTATTAATCTGCATGGAGTACATGAGTGGCTTCAGTTATTTTACCAACAGTTCCACTTTGTCATGTTAAATATTAGTAGGTCAAAGGCAAGAAAAGTGAACCATTACCTGTCATGATCAAATTAAAGAACAGTTCCAAAGCAAGCAATCAATATTCGTTTATCTTAACTCCTGCAGAGTTTTGTAAGCTTATTCTGAAGTTGCTAAGGTGGGGGAAATATGTAGTTACAGATATTAGGTTAATATGTTCTAAGGGGTGTAGATACATCAGCTTTGCATTCACGTATAAGATATTAGTCACGTTCTTTTGAGAATTCACTAATCCTACCATCAAGCTCACTTGTCTTGTTATTATTAAGACCTTTAAGAAGAATGTAGACTTGATCCATTACAAGGAGATGGCACGCCGTAAGTTAACATGGTCAATAAAACAACTTCAAGCACTTAACAAAACTACCTGAACTAACGACTGACTGTAACGTGAATAGATTTTGCAAATATCAGCTGACTTTCAAAGCTTTATCCCTGCACTTTAAAAACTATTTTCTAGTCATTTAAAGTACTCTAAAGTCCTTAAAATTTATTTTCGTTCTAAAAACTGAAATTGCAGCTACACAAAAAGTATTTCAGATCTAAGTGTAGCAATAAAAGCGTCATCTTCACAAACATTCTAATTTAAGGTAAAAAAGCATGCAAAAACTGTTTATTTTCAACATGTATATTCGATGCCAGCATTGATATACAACATCACAGGTGTCACCCGACTTGGTTGTAAATTGTTCAAGTAAACTACATATTCCCAAGATATATACTTTCACTGGTAAATCAAAACTAGACAAATCTGCAGTGTAAAATGTTTCAGTATGTTACTGTATCTTACAACATACACCTGTATTGCTAAATAAGAATTGTTCAATCATCCAGGCAGATTGGCTGATGTTGAATCTGAATGCAATGTGAAACAGTTACTGTCATAAACGAACTCCACCATTACCTACACGATCAATCGCGTTAATTGTAACCTATACGAATAACACATTAGCTCAATATGAATTAATCGGAAACATCCAAAAACCTGAATACAATAGAAACGGGAAAGTTTTATACATATTTTTTCAGTCACCAACCTGTATAAGTGGAATCCAAAATAATCCAACATTATAGATACTATAGTAGAGGAATCCAATCACATTCAACACAGCAAAGTCAAAATTAAATCCAACCACACTAAAACATAAAATAAATTATCATACAACAACATCAGTGATAGGCATGTACAAACATCAGAAGAGATAAATTCATGCTATCAAACTTGTGCTAAATCCCTGAGAAGATATAAAAGTCCGTTCACCTAGACAACAAATATGCGGCACCTCACTTGACATGAATTACAAAATGAATAAAACATCATGAACATATAGTATACTAGTCAAATAAAAGTTGCTTGCCAAAATAAAGACACAATACAATTTAGTCCAGTAGGGCGATTTCACACTTTCTCAGAAGTTAGCAAATTAAGAAATTAATAACCCGAATCTACTCAGTACAAACTTTTGGTGATGCCTCTGATATTACACCACGAGTTCACACCCTGCAGGCATAGTCAGCTCTCCACAGCATAAAAACACTTAGTGATGTTGAATACTGATACAACTGAAGTATGGATCCAAAGCTGTCCATCGTCGGTGTTCACCTTTGAAGTAAGTACAATGCATAATTTCTCTAGGCTTACCAATACCAGTAGTCCTTACTGTCGATTGGATTACACTCTGATAATTCATTGCTTCATATAACCCAGCCCTTCCAGAAGGTCCTGAGTTCATATGAGTGGCGTGATTGAATATGCTCACTGAACTTCTAAACAGATCAAAGTAGCAAACGCAACCAAACACCCTGTCAACTATTGCCAAACCTTCAATCCTAACGTCAGAATGCGTAAGATACTCACTGACACATGCAACACCTCCACTTAGCATCTCATTCCCCAATTTCTTTCTTTCTCAGTGAAATACTGTACACAGACAAGGCGTTTTTCTAGAAAACATCAGTTTCCAATCAACTACTGTTCTTATTATTATCTCAAGATACAAAAAACACCCGGTATCCAATTCAATACCAATGCAAACTCACAAGCTTACAAATATCTCATCACAAGAAATACTATAGTGCATTTCTTGACGCCAATGTTGTACCGAGTATTCAAAAATAAATAGAAGAAATAAACTACAAGAAATGTTGTCTATAACTCGAAAATACACAGTGAATTCCTTCCCATACTATGAAAGTATTGGAAACGTTTGTGGTCTCCCTTCACTTCAATAGGGCTGATGACAACTAGAATGTCTTAGATAACTTCATGTTTCTTATCTGTCCTCCATAATAAGATGATCTACATGTATTGCATATTGTTACAGTGAGTACAGAAATGTGTTCATTCACAGATACGAGGTAATGGCAAGTTTTCTCGTTTAGTGCACCGAAAACGAAATGCTTAAACACCCTCACCCGGTTTCACAATCTTTACCTAGACGACTTCAGTCATTGGCGGAAACATTCTCCGATTGAACAACATGCCTCTTCTCACTGGTAACTAACTAACGTGTGAAGTTCTCGAGGTTAACGTGTGAAGTCTCAACGTTTGTGATCAGTCACATCCAAAGTGAAGAAGGATTACCAAACATGACACTGAATAATATCTACATTGTATCATGGGCTCCTCAAAGTTTGAATTCAGTCATTCTTATGTTTCATCCCATGATACAATAGCAACATGGTTGACGAAAAATCTGTATTTCGTTATGCATATAACAACACGACTGTAGGCGATTGCTGTTGAGCAGGATTAGACTAAAACAAAATACTTAATCAATTTCCATTGTTCTGTTCAATCCACAGTTGAGACATAAGCAGTTCAAACTTCTCTAATGCACACGAGGATCATCTGCATGTCACATCGAAGATGAACGTCACAAGAAATCACAATTCTACACATTTAAAGTACGCCTGAAACCTTTTTCAAATGTGATAGATGTACGTCATCTTTTAGATAAGACAAACAAATGCCTGGAAAACGGTTAACAAAGCTTTAAAGAAAAGCAGCAGATAACTGCAAATCAGGAGTTTCTGTGCAAAATCACTTTTTGAAAAATACACAGCAAAACACCAAACTCTAAAGCTCATCAGTTCACGACAAAGAAGTCGGTTTCAGAGGGAAATGCAAATGAATTACCTTTTTCTTTTCCAGTTCAAAAAAAGTTGGGGGTAGAATGAAACAGTCCAAGCAGCAAAGTAGAGCCAACCAATCACTATTTGAAGCATACTTAACCATCGATAACGTACGACAGTTATATGACATATAGTTGTATTGAGGCTATAAATTAAATTGTTTTAAAAAGGATAGTGGATAAAAAACTACTACAAATACTAGGTTGGTAAAATAATTTTTACGAACGAAATTATTTCACTTCTAAACTGCATTTTCTGTTCAGAAATAATTACGTCATAATTGATGTCGCCTACTTTTCAAAATTACTAGTCTTGTTGAACTTTCTTTTGAGTAGTCTGAAAAAAAAACTGTTGACAGTCAACAGAATACCTTGAATAAATATCACTTGAAGCTGCTACACTTTACATCAGATCATCAAAGTGGAATTCATTAAGTAGAATGATGACAATGATGAAAGAAAATTATTTATATCAGATTTATTATCAAAAGATTTCTGTGCGTTCGCACAAGCATTTAGTTTGCATCAACGTACTCCCTGACATTATTGTGCAATGGCCCAAGTTGACATACATCATGTCAGCTGACTGACTGATAAAATCACGTAGAAAGTGACCAACAGTTGCATCGACTCAAGTTGCCACACATCTCAGTAGTACACAAAGAACAAGTGGATAGAAAATAGTGATATCTAACCAATCTGAAAATAACGGTGAGTCTAAATATTCAAGCTTTAGAAGATGTCAAAGAGTGGATAAAATTGCTCTGTTGTGACCAGTTTTCAGCAATATCACCAAGAGCCAGCCCTCAACCACTGATTTCTTTGGTCTTAGGGAACCCAGTCAGGTAGTCTACAACAACTCATACGGCTCACAACAATAGTCAGGGACTTCTTCGACTGTGCCATGTCTTGGTTTGGCCACCCCGAATCCTCTTCCAAACCAATTCAGCTTTCCATAGCCTGAGTGAATGAGGTAGATGTTGGCTGGGCATATCCAAGCCGTATCACCCGACTAAGGTTCACAGTTTCATCAGTCAACTTGTCTCGACACATCACAACATCAAGGTAGGTGGCAGAGAAATGAGAGATAGAGAAATGAGGTAGAAATTTACTAAAATTTACACAAATTTGAGAGCAGAGAGCAAAAAGGAATAAAACAACAATAAAATTCGGTATGATAATCAAGATGAAGATAATATGTGAATGTATTTGAGCAACCAAGATCGATTCTGAGCCATGTCATCTAGTTTCTCCAATCATCGATTTTGATTGTCATGTTGACGTCAACCCAGGAGTCTACATACAACTACATGGCTTAGACAGACAATCAGAGACTTCAGGTGACATATTTTAGTCCATTTGCCTCTAACCTTTATCCATCCTTGATATACTTCAGCTTATATTGCGCGATGGAGTAGATGGTGACCAGGTATGGGTGAAATATTTACCATCACTTGAGTCAATGAAGATTCAGAACCTAATCAAGTGACTTATCTCTTCTGCTTTGAACTCTACACCTGACCTTGGTGTTGTTGAGGTGGCAGTATCATTACGCAGAGGCTAAGCTAAAAGATAATGTTGATCGAACGACTGTACTCTACTTTTACTAGTCACGTTTTATAGTCATATAGCGGGACAGAAAGAATCACTGTTCAGTAGGCTCAATCCTAAATAAGAAATTGGCTATCGCAATGCGTCATAAGTAACGTAATTTGGCGTAGGGTAACCAAGCTTGATGTATCTATGTAGCGATTTTGTCGACTACGAACCCACAAGGGCTGATCCCATTTCTCAGGTAAGTGAAGTGATCGACTCACTCAACCACTTTTCTCCCCATTGTCAAACGGGTAAGAAGTGGATCTCAAACATTCTCAAATTACTCCTCAAAGTCCCCAGAACACTTGTCATCTTGTCAAAATCTTCTCTTAACGAAACTATGTCATCTGTGTACTCTAGGTCAATTGTCCTGCAGAGTCAGATGAGGAAAGAAAGACCTCCATAAGCATGTTTGTGATAAAATGAAATCAGAATTGAGGAAGCGGACATTGTTGACGGGAACTAGTTGACGTACACATTCCAGCTGGTGCTTCAAAACTGACTTCCACAAGATTATTTTTAATGCAACTTCCTGCGTGTGATGACATCATAAACTGAAATTCTATCAGGATTAAATATTAACGTTATTTATTTTAAATTGATTGACTCCACAATATGCAGACTGTTTTGAGATCTGAGAAACCGTTAAATTTCCTGATTAACGAGACGAAAATATGCCAAACAACTGTTGATATAACAACTAAGATGCCGGTTCAGCACTGTTACCGCAATCTACTTTTAGCTATACTCCATACTCCATATTTTCAGTGAATCATGGATCCCAAAGTGGATATCTGGACTGTTGTTGCTCGATACTTGTAATTTCCCGTCGCTATATATGGTCAAATTGCTCAACTTCTGTTGGCAGATAGGCTCCCGTATGGATGTCTGGATACTGCCGGATTTTCATGATGTTGTATTCATGTTGATGACTAGCAATGGAATCAAGAACGAACTTTTTGTCTTTTTCGGGATTCGTCAGCTGGATGTACATGCATCCGCTAACCTTCACTTCAAACGCCAACAAGTGGTACCCCTCGCACAATCGGTGGCTGTCATGCTCCTTTCGCCCAGTAGATAACTGTTTGGTGTTTGAAATGATGGGCAATGGGTTTCAGTCTCATTGGGAGCAAAATCACTCAATGGGATGCCGGTACATCCGGCTGACAAGTCCCAAATAGGACAAAGCGTTCATCCTGGATTCCACTGATAGTCACCAACGTATATACAACATCTAAACCATCTATTTTTTCACCTGATAACAGAATTTACTGAGATTACGGATCAACAAGGTATGCAGCTCAAGCTATTCTTAGCTATTTCGAACGATATTCTACTTCAGTGCAACAGGGTAGCACTCAGATCATGATCCATCACACAGATTGCTACTTTTCTAATTCATCAAAGATCGCCACTATGCTAACTCATGCATCTCATCCAACACCCTTCTTTCAATTACTGTGTAACTTTATAACAGTGAGGATTAAAAGGTGGTTCAGCAAGTTTGCTTACTCCGCTATGCGCATACTCTAATCAATCTTTGTGTGTGTGTGTGGGTGTTAAGCGACCTGGAAATATACAACTTACCGTGAAACATTTCAGTTAAGTCTTCATCTCGTTATATGAATATTCATTGTTTTGTATGGAAATGTGATAACATTCTTCTTAGATCTGGTGTTATTATTAATTTCATTTTTCATTCTATCTTTGAATAATCACTGATATTAACAGTAGGTTATTTGTACTTTCCGAGTTACTTTTATCAAAAATTTTAGATCCTCGGATTTTACTGAGATTATCGTTTCACTTATTCAATACTTTTTTAGCAGATATGATAACTATTACTTGAGATGACTCAACAGATAAGGTTATCCATTGATTTTAAGATAGTTTACATGACTTAATAGACCTTTATCTGTATTGATCAAGCGTTTTCACTTTATGAAATGCAACAGATTGTTATAATTAAATCCAAAACTAATCTTTATAATCAGTGATCGGCTTTGTAATTATATCAAGCAGAATTACCGAGCATGACGAATCTAATCGCTGAAAAATCATCCATGCGTATACTGAGTTGTTTTTGTCGTTTAATTTTATCTATTTCATATGAAAGGTATCAATATTTGATTGACATGTTGTTTGAGTCACTTTCGTTGAATGCATTAGAATGACATGTATGAACTAAGAAATTCAGTTCTCATCTTTTCATATTGGCTATGAGTGTGTAGATGTAAGATCTGACTACGTGCTCAGTTTTCATAAAAACATTTGATAACTAACTCAAACAGATTGTTTACTTACAGCTGTAATGACCAGCCTAGTAACTGTATGGAAAAGCGACTGACGAGTCACGTTTTCCTCTTTCTAGTCTTTGGATAATAAGTATAGACGTCTATATGTTTACTGTCACATGAATGATTAGGTAACCATCATCATCGAGTCTATACCTTTCTACATACTATCTATCACATTTGTGCATATAGTAAGACCAGATGGTAACGTATCAATAAAAATGAAGTAGTACACGCAATTTTGAATCAGTAGGACATCATGGAACTCCTTGAAACGGTTGACACATTGCACTGATAATTGTGAGGAGCAAATGATCTAAGATTATGCAAAAACTCATCACAAGCAAAATAAATTGTTTATGTATCCGCCACTAAGTGTTTTGTTAAAATGTTTACTTCGATGAAACTTTTTCAATTTCAGTGTCAACTATCAAATTCTTTCAAGACTGAAAAACGATTATTTTAGATAATTTTAAAAGGAAATATCCATCTAGTTTTTAGGACTCAGTCGACTAATGAATTTGTACAATATACCTGCATTACTATTCTTTTTTGTTTGAAGTTTTTTCGGATTCCTCAGATTATGGTCAAAACATTTGAGTACCACGTATACAAGATACTCAAATGCACTGCAGAAATGTATAAACAATGTTGTGTAAAAAGGTTGGAATTCTCAGTAAAGATAAATATTATTTGAGGAGTTGCATAAACGAATAGGATGAGTGTCGAATGATGGAGTTATCATTCTTTCAGCAGTGAAATCTGCAAAAATAGAATGTTTTCTTTCTGGAAACTGGAGATGTAAGTGCTATTGGCCAGAAGTTGATGATACTATTCCGAGAGGAATGAGGAATTGTTCTTATTGTTAGCAGAAAGTGTCTTAATGAAAATTATTAAGGGAACCTTGCTCCACATTATGTAAGATAGCAGGGAAATAATGTAGATTTTTATGTGTTTCTTTCTTCGACTCGTATTATTCTGTAGTTATCTGTTCGCATAAACACTTAATGTAAAAGCCACTCATAGAGCTATGCAGAAGATTGTCAAACTCAAAACATTCTTGTTATTAAAAATAATTGTAACAAGAACGATTTAAGTGATCAACTTTCAAATTTGGTTTGCTACAATCTATGCACAGCTTCATACCATTTGTGGTCAAACCAGTCACAGTAGACTTCTTGCGAACATTGAACAGCGATACATAATATGTAAATCCATTCAATCTTAGAGGAGTGAAAAACTGTTTCGACAACTTCCTTCTTCAGTATCATAGTGCCACACCTGTGAACACTCACTGAATTCTTTGAACATGTTTCTTGACTAAGTGCTTATCATAAACATGCAAAAGAAAATTTAAAGTATTATGAATGTGGTATGTATAATGTTAATCATTGAGACTGCACAATACAAATAATTCTGGCAATTACAAAATTCCGACTTCTGTTTTTCGATAGTTCAGCTATGTTCGTGAGAATTCCATGTCTAATAATTACTATACGATTAAGTATTATAGTTTATTTACTCTAATTATTTGGTCAAGATACAACCTATTAGAAATATTTAAGGAATATATAGTGATATAAAGTGTTCTCATTTTGATGACTTTCGTCGAACCTTAAGTCTGTTTTAATCAGTCAACTATAGCAAAACTATGCACACCCACCTTGAGACAGTTTAGCAGTTAACGGGAAATGACATTTCTTTTTCCCGTACATTTCTTATCGCCTATGTATTAAACACGGTTTTTAACCCATACTTTTTCAGTTTTGGCTATCTGTTTTCCTTCACTTACAGAAATTGTATTCTGGAATAATTTTCTTTTAAACAGCAGCTACCCCTTAAGCTATAAAATAATTAAATCTGGAGCTAACCTATTGTGGTTTGAAGCATGATCGTTCACAAACTTCTAAACTTTGTGAACACTATTCTACTGAAATTCAGTACTTCAGCCATTTCACTAGAAAAATGTAAATCAGAACGTCAACTATCACCACAACAATACCACGGTCGTGGGAAGACAAGAAGAGAAGACAAACCGTTTACGGAGAGCTTTTAACTATCTCAGCAATAGTCTGACCTTCCAATGGTCGTCTTGATTTGCAAAGTATTCTTTGAACAAGTCATTATATCTACAAAATCATGTATCGGACGTTATGTTTGTATCTAGGTCATGGACGAATTCGGATATGCTGCTACCAACATTGTCACTGGCTGGAGATGAATCAAGTGGGGAAGATATCCATAAGCCAGCAATGAGCATTAACACAATAATGCGCAAACGAATCGACTCTGTCGCAAATCAGAACATCAACCACTACCAAAACAGTGAGTGAGTTAGTTACTACTTATGCTTTGGCATTGTCCATCTCTATTAGGATACAGCTGGGAATATTTATCGATGGTTTGACTGTTTTACATAGTCGTGGAGGGAAGTTCAAATCTCCTCGTTGGTGTTCACAAAACAACTGGAGCAGAAAGTCAGAAACTCCATAGACTGTGACTTAAGATCGACTGAACTGGTTCAGTATGTGCCAGTATTTTCTTCATACAAATGGTCGAGTGATATTTTCTTGTTATGTTTATCACTATTTCACTTTTCTGATGAAGTTTGACGATTTATAATCCCAATATTTTCAGCTTTTTGTCAGTGAACTTGATAACTTTCAGTTTATTTGGTTGGCTTACTGTGCATCAATGTAAATTGACTTCTGTATAAAATTTCATTATTTTACCTAATAACACTCCAAATTCCATATACTTCGTTTGATGCTGAGTTGTGATTTGTTGAAATCTTAGTTGACCTGTGTCTGTCTGACTCCTCTGAGATATGTTAAGCACTTGAGTTCAGAATATTCAGTAATTCTACTACAAATTCCTTCAAGAAAATTACATCTCAGTCACAAGCATTCATCTTGTTCATACCGATGATAAGTACCGAAACTTCTCAATGCTAAAATCTAACACATATTGTCCTATACTTCAAGTTAGTATGTAACTTGATTTATATCCTATGAAACGTTTATGGCAATAAATACTTATGCACTTACTTCGCAATATCTACATCCTCTGATGGTTTTATTTTCAAGTTTATATGGCCAGGTAAGTTAGCTACAATGATGGCAATAGAAGGGCCTTCCTGATCACCTGCTATAGTTACGTCAGAAATTGGATTAATTGCTGAATGACTCAAATTTTCTGGTTGGATCTCATTATTATTTCTATCCCAGTAGGTGAATTCAAGATATACATCGTACGATATTATTTCACTGAAGAAAAATGTCAATAATGATGAAAAGTTAAAGCTAAAATCAGCCCACAATAACATAAAACATGAAACAATATTATTCACAAAACAACAATCCTAACTCTTTAAATACTGAGCTCAAAAAGTCGATAAGCTCAATACTCTCTCATCTGATTGACACCGGCCACCGAGTTAACATTTATAATGCCTTTAAAGTTATTTATCACATTCCTTCTCACCTCACCCATCCTCTACGAGTTCGTCTTTTACATATAGCAGAAGCCATAGGAATCCACCTACACAAGCCAAGTCTGTGTGTTCAGAAGAGATTCGTACAGTCTCTTTCTTTGCCTTGGCCATCTGTATAGCTCATTTATTACAACAAGACTCTTCATTTCATCCACCACACAATTCACTATAACAATATTTTAATAGCTCCATTATTATTATTATTATTATTATTACAGACTTAACCATCTTTCTCTCCCCCTACTGTCTCTAATTACCGTCAACAATTTACCATTTTACGTAACAGTTCATTTTCGCTCTTTAGTTATCACTATATAAAATATCAATTATGTAAGAACCTGTTCACAAAATCTTTTTACTATAATTAATCTTTGCTTTAGTTAACTGTCTTAATTACCTGATCAATTATCACCTTCTTGATACTTTGAGATTGATAACCTTTCATTGAACAACTCTCACCACTAGATTGGTATGTAATTTTACGTTTGAAAATGCCATATATTAGTGTAGAGCCACTGATGAGGAACTAACTGAAAAGAAATATTTCTTTGCTCACATTGTTTGTTTTACTAAATGTTAAATGGGAATTTTCGCATAACTAATATCTATTTTCCTCGAGCTTAAAACTGCACCGATTATTTACTTGATATCATTTGATATCTTTTGTCCAGTTCTAAGTTTTGATTCAAATCCACCTATGAGGTTCATCTATATTATGACCAAAAAGGTTAGAGAATTCAATATTCCTATATATGTTGCTTGTTACTATAAAGAACAATGTACTCAGCAACAGTTTCATGCCATATATGAGGATTATTCTCATTGTGTATTTATAGCAATGCAGTTTTTGTCCAGAGTTCAGTCTGAAGAGATCGAAATGAACAAAGCAATTTGAATAACATTTCATTTTTCAAATGTACAGTACAGAAAACAATTAGGATCAAGGTTCCATCATTTAGCAGTTGTGACTGAAAAACATTGAAAAGACTATAGCTATACAGTGTTTTGTGAGTTTCTTAGGTGAAATGTGTTTTAAACTACCTTCATTTAACAGCCTCAGTGTAACGCTGCCTGTTTGAAGTAGTTAAAGATATGACTTTGATATGAGTAGTAGTTGTAGTAGTAGTAGTTGTTGTTGTCTACTAACTCTATTCAGAATAGTATTAAACTTTTTTTCAAAGATTGCAAACACTTCAGAATAAGTCTAGGACTCAACCAATCATGACCTTATGTTTTCAGATTTCAAGACAGTTGAATTATTTGTACAGTATGCCAATCGCAAGTCAAGTGATACACATGTAGACATAAAATACATATTCATCGCTCAATTATCTATCATTTTTAGACTCCAAAGTCCTAATCTTCCACTGTTTGTTCCAAGTGATCAAAATTGTTCCAGCTTGTTCCTACGGAAGAATCATCACAATATTTAAAGCCAAATAACATTAAAGTATTTTATCACCATTGTGGTGAATCCACTCTACACGGTGGCAAAGCAGTAATACCATCAAAAAACTTACCGAATTTTTAGCATAAAGTTATTGGAACCAACTCATAAACAATTCAATCCGCTTGATAGAACACCTAAAACGTTCAATAATTCTCTGTTTCTGTTGGAATACTTGGACAACCCAAAACTAAAGTGGCAGCATCTTCTGCTCCACCTTAATTAAAGTTGGCTATTTGGATGCTGACAGTTGGTTGAACAACGACGTGTTGGTCAAGAAAAACGTATCTATCGGATACGACCTCATATGAATCCAGAGATCATACTTTTAGGGAAAACCCAACAGATGGTGAGTATTCTCGAGGCCGCTAGAGTGCGTTTCCATGATATGCAAACATTAAGATAGCCATCTTCAAACCGCTTACTGTTCTTTTGATCATAATGAAATTTCACTCGTATGAATACGGTGAACAAATTACTATTCCGGATAAACCACTGACTTTAATTAACTAACACTCCCCGAAATCATCCAGGACACCCCAGAATTCCACATCTAGCCATTAAATAGACCATATTACGATAAATACATGTTTAAAGTAACCGATCTAGAACAGAGGACTAGTGAGGAGAAAGAAAATCAATCAATTACACCTGAAAGGTGGTCCGGTAAGGCGGCGCTCAAAATAATGTCCAACCGTTTTCAATCTTTTTTCTTAGATGAAACTTAATTCACAGAGTAGTAAGACTATTTGGGTTACCATCAAAAGAATACTGAAAAGTGAAAACGAGACCGAAAACTTTAACCACTATGTATACGGCTGAATGTCCGAAATAAAACCAAGATGGCGAACTTTGGAATGCTGAAGACATTCTTGTTTGCCAAAAGTATCAGTAGACACTAATATAAATGGTTTGGCAGTTGAAAAGTGTGTTATGATAACTGAAAAAGTATTTATTTTCAGTATTACTGTCACTGTCTCAGTATTTATGAAGTCAAACAATGAAGTTGAGTAAATGAATTGCATCTGGTTACTATTCATACCATTAGTTAACTGTGTATGGAATCTATGCCCAGAGTTTCAAACACGCATCGTAACTTTCCTGATAGTCTGTATCGCCTTTTACTAAGTAGGAAATCAACCAGCAAAGAAGTCAGTATGGAAACAGACCCTAATGGAAATATACTCAGCAGTCCGGAAGTAGCTGAGTTGCTGAGCAGACGCTTCGAAGTGTAGCTCAATACTTCTGATAATTAATCCACACCGACTCGAAACAACATCTGACGGACTGAAGGGAATGACTTCCTTTGTCATATACCCGTCGCAAAAGGAAAAAGCATCAGGGAAGCTATCCAAGCTTCATCCAGGCAAGTTCATCATGTGTGACGATGTGAAACTGTAAGTCCCAAAATACTGCTCTGAGGCATTCACGGAACCAATAAGTGACCTCACTGAGTCGCCATTGGAGTCAAACATTCTCTCTAGACGGTGGAAGTGCACCATCTTTTCACCCGTCTCAAAGAAGAAGAAGAAGACAGAAACTATCTAGAAAGTATAAACCCATTGGCCTAAATCTCATACTGTTTAACGTACTGAGAAATTGACTGCAGGCAAAGTTTTGGAATTCCTCAATGGTAAAACACCGTTCATACTGTTCAAAATAGTTTTCGGAGTGATGGTTTACGTGCCACCAACTTACTGACTACCTGAGACGACTAGACATTTAGTTGGAATAACATAGAACCAATCCGTGTCATTTTTCTTGGTCTGGCAAAAGGATTTGACAGTGTCCCACAGAAAATCCTACTTCACCAAATTGGGCTGAAAAGCATACACGAACCTGTGCTTTCCTTGTTTGGAGCTTATCTGGAACATAAACGGTCATGCAAGCGTAGGCTATCAACATACGATGTATCCCAGATAATTCTGTTTCTGCGGTTCACCAAAATTTCCCACAAAGCATTACCTCACCTGTCCTTGGTTTCGCTGATGACATCAAAATTTGGAGGATGGTAAAAGAGGATGCTGACTGTAGAGCACTGCAAATTACTAAAGAAACCAGAACTCTGGTCGTCAGAAAACCACTTGAGCTCAAATCTAGAGAAGTGTAAATAAGTGCAAATCTAGGCGCATGAAGCAAGGAAGGTCGGAAAACATAAGTTGAGTAGCTGTACCATCATTATAATTTCCACTAAAAAAGATCTGGGGTTTAACTCCACAAACACTCCATGCATTAGCTCTAGTTACAAAGGAATGAAACCCAAAGCGAATGCCACTTTACAGCTCTTCTACAGATACCTCAGTGCACTCACTCTAGAACTATATATAACGGTTTACGTCCTATTTATAACTACATCGCCAGTTATCATTACTATGGTATACCAGGGACTAAACAGAGATACCAGGCTCCTTGAGAAAGTATGAAGATCTGTGACAGAAACAGTTGCCGGACTCGGGGAAAAATTTTCAATAAACCTAAGCATTTAAACCTATTCATTTTGATGAGTGACCTCATTATGGCTCATTCACCAAGCGAATCACGTAAACTAACTGAGCTTGTCTGCAAAAGAGCTGTCACCTTAGAGCAACGCCGTAAGAATAGCACATCTAAGAGCCAACACCGGCTCAAGTCAGACTTCTTTTCTGTAAAAGTATGTGATTTATGAAGTGATTTACTAGGGGATGTAGTCACAACTTCTTCAGAAGGCTTATGTTAGTTCTTATGGGTTACCAACATGTACTTAGGATATTACTGACCTCACTAGTCCATTGCTGTTTTTTGTTGTCTGCTATTTGCCGTCTATTCGTTTTGATTTACCTGTCTATTCTTCCATTTCCTCTTTGGTAAATAAGTTGATACCATCTGCTTTCACTTTTCGGGACTGTCCAATATAACCCTTTCCATTGTTTTGCAATTCCATTCAGACATCTTTACAGACAGGAGTCAAGAAATACCAACAGTCCTCTCAGCAATCTCTAGCTTCCTAACCATCTCAACATACAGTTGGCAAATACAAACCCATAAAGTACACCCACACCACTTGGGCTGAAATCAGGAAAGCAGAAAAGGTTTACTTGTCCACTACAAGCTCAAGATAGAATGGCAAGAACCAGGTCCAGAGAACTAAAAGCGTAAGATAAAAACTATCAGTTTACTATGCTAGCAATAAAATTTAACCTGACTAACCAACCATTCTTGAAAATAACGACTGAAAATAAATGATATGAGCGAATAGATCGTCAATATTGTGTAATTTGTCGACAATTTTCGTCACATATACTACTTTTCACAACTTCATTGTGCAAAACAATCTGACTATATTATCGTCAGATTCCACGTAACGTGCTTTGAAACTCATCAATTCATCTTAAATTAAACCTTAGTGGGATGACTTGCTGCGTTAACTGGTTTCGACAGAACAGAATTGGAAAACCCTTGAATATGCGTTAACATTTGTCAAACTAAGCAACTTAGCAAAGACAAAAAGGATTACAGTGTTACTACCCTCGGATTATTTTTCATCCACAAGCTGTTGTTTTTAACCTTTCAAAATGCAGTGTTATATACTCGCAACAGAAAAGTCAATGAGCTTCTCGCCTCCATACAAAATCCGAATTGGGCTCCGTGTATATACAGTGAACGAAATTTCGCAGTTTTCGACATGCGGCGGCCTCTCTGTATGAATGGAAATCCTTTGTCTTCAGTAATCACTTACTAAAATCTGCTGTGAAAAAAGTCAAATCCAACCCTCAACTAAAATAGCTAAAATTCAAAATAATTAATGGAAAAGAAATGAACAGTAACTAGGACTAGTAGACCACCCTAGCCTGTTTTACATTAGCTCTCTATAGTTAACCTTTGAGAGCAGGTAAAGACGTTTTCCATACGTCTTCATCACTTTTATTAGGATTTACAATGCTCAACTATAATATTATTCAAATAATTATCAAGACTTCATCTGCTATTAATCAAAATTTTCAAGCAAATATTTTCAAAAAATGAATTATTATCAACAAAAATTCATAGCGCTTCCTAAATTGACAAAAATCTACCAATAAATATGCATTCAAATGTATTAAGGGCAGTAAATTTCCACTTACTTCAAGCCAACTTTTATCAACTCAGATTCACCTTGCTCTAAAAAAGTGAAGTAGGTCTAAAGAAGACTTCATAGTGGTCATCAGTTCTGACAGTTTTAAGAAGGACATAGATAAGGTAGAAGAACTTGAACAATCGACCTGACATTACAATTTCATAAATGCAACTTTAAACTGCTCAAGTACAATCCCTTACACTAGTACATACAAACAAACTTCATGCATTACGAAACTGGCGAGTGCTTCCAGTACGGTCATGTGTGAAAAATAGAAAATGATCAGCATCAACTTATTGGATTAGAAGAATTTCCGATACCAGTTATTTTATCAAAATACATCTTAAAATTCTGACTTCAGTGCTTCAAATGCTGAACGTTACGTTTTTGCTTAATTAGGAGGGATCATAGGTTTGGAAAATTGGAAAAGGTGCGACTTGGATAACTTTCGAGCGGAAGCTTTAGTTTACGATGGGTTATGGGGTTCGTTAACGAACGATATCCAACATTCAATATCTGTTTGACGAGCTTGTGTAAACCAGTTGATTTATTCTTTCTCGCTTCTTGGTCCTGTGGAGCGGTTCCAGATCTTTGTCTGATTCTGATGCGGTAGATCCAGACACTCGTCACCTATAGCTCTGGTATACAGAACAGAAGGTTAAGCGTTTGTTAGTTCGCCCTGGACTGTAGTACAGTCGGCTTCTTCGGATGTCGAGTTGCCAGACATGTTCGGACTGGTAGTTACAGAGAGTCAGGGGTAATGAAGAGAAAACCTGGAAAGAACATTTGTGCGAGTAAAAAAGAGAAGATAAGTGAACCAATGGAGTATACCCCTTTTCCCAAGTAAGGCGGAGATAGTGAGAACCTAGACGGATGACACTAACTCATGGTAAGTGGTAGGGATGAAAGGACTTAAATGGTTACAGTATAAAGGAAACTGGCGTACAGGTAAAATAGTTAAAATGGCGTGGCGTCAATTGATTTCCTGTTCAGTTCGTGTTCCAGTTATATGTGGACAGACAGTGGGTCTCTGCATGACTGTATAGCCTTTCCTTGAAGCTTTCACCACTGATGATATCGCATTCCAGTGCCCGCAGACTTGGAGGAAGAAGAAATATGAGGGCACGTGAGAGTGAGCAATTCTCTCAGGGTTTTCATGAGGGTCACCATAGTGGCAACTTAGCTGTAATTCTCCTTTCGGGTGACTTGGGATGTTCAGTATTTTGTAGGCCATTATCTATTCACCTCGTAACGTCCTGTATCTAAGAAGGTATAGGTCCAGGTCTTTCACTCTATCCTCATTTGGTTTCCGCTGCATTCCAACGACCCCTTCTGCGGCTCACCTCCGAACTTTCCCCAGTGGGTTCGTGTTTCTATCCAGCTGTGGTGGAGCGAAGACGTTATGGACCTTCAAGCGGGATGGCATGTAAGTCTTGCGGAGCTTCAGAAAGAGATCTGAGGTGAGGGCACCTTGTTGTCTGTGCACAGAGTGTGGTACACCATATGTCTTTGATGCGTCATCCGGCAAATTGGAGCTGGTGTCTAGTTTCTCCGTCACCATTAAACTCAAGTCCTTTTCTGCTGTGGTGCGGGATGGACGTGAACCACAGAGAGAGCAGGATGCTTCCCGGAGATCAGGGGTGAGCAAAAGCATGGAGCGGTGCATATTCAGATTTAATTCCAGTTCCTTACTTGTTCTTCATTCTTCTAGTGTTTCGTGGTTGTTCTGGGATGCATTCGGTTCCACCTCACAAGTTACTGCCCTCCACAACTTGACGTCATCAGAGTAGGTTGGAATCAGAGGGCTGATATGCAGCGGGAGGTCATTCACTAGCAGTAAGAACAACAACGGACCCAGGATTGCTCCTTGCGGGACACTGGACGGTGGTGTTCTCCAGGTTGAGTAGACCTTGTTGACTTTCAGGCAGAACTCCCTACTGTCCAAGCAGTTCTGCAGCCACGATAGAACTCGGTCACGGATGCCAAACCCAGCCATTTTGCGTATTAGGATGGTGTGTGAGAAATTGTCAAATGCTTTGGTGAAGTCCAGAGGGGTCGCGTGGGCGCGGACCTTGAGATCTCTGCACGCTATTTAGTGGTCATGGGCCGTTGAGAGGTTGGAGGCACACCACCTACACTTCCGGAAGCCATGTTGAGCGTCACTGAATGCTGGCTTCGTGTCCAGATACTCCTTGATGCTGCCGTCCATCACGCTTTCCACAACTTTTGGTTTTGCTGGTAGAAGTGCCACGGGTCTGTCACAGCTTTGATTCTGACTCTCTCTGCCTTTGGGCATAGGGAGAGGATGGTCCGTTTCTACTCTCGTGGGAGGTTTTGGTCGTCCAAGGAGTGTTGGAAGAGACTGTAAAGTGGGTCGCTTAGGGTGCTTGCGCATTCTTTCAGCACGGGTGGACGAATGTTATCGCACCCTGTGGATTTTTCCGCTCTTAGCTTCAATAGCTGGTCGAGAACAGCAGCACAAGTTATCCGTACTTCGTGTAACTCTGGAGCGTCGGATAACTTTGGGGGCTGTTCGGGCAGTAGGCATGCATGCTTTCCTGATGGAATGTTGAGCTGCGTCAAATGAGGAACTCATCATTTCAGCGATATCCTGTCCAGAGAGGCTTGCCCTGTTTGGACCTTTATGACGCATGCTCCTTTGCTTGTAAATTTTCTCCTTGCTATGAATCGGCATAAGTTTTGGGGTTTACCTGGAGTTTCTTGGCCGGGTTGGACCGGGACGACATCCTGCCTCCCCGCACCCTGGTTTTGCTTCGAGTTTGCAGAGCTGCATATGCGTCACGATCATCCCCTTCTCTGGAGAGAGTCTTCAATTGTGCCATACCTTTTCCATGGCTTTCACTAGGCTCTCAGTGCCTCATTTCAGCCACGAGGTCCACTTTCTGTGTTGTTACCACCAACGGGACGTTTCGCGAGATCGCGGCCCCAATGATATTTCTTACCAGTTCCCAGTGTTGGTCAGCCGACAAGGAACACCAATCCACCAGTCATGGAGCTCTCGATAGGCATTGATTCATTCCTTCACAGTTTGCCTTATGCAACAGAGGTAAGGACGAGGTCTCTCCCACGATAATTGTTCACTGATTACCAGGTCGAACGCTTCGATATCACGATCGATGCCTCCAAGAGGAGTTTGGACCTGGACGTTTTCAACTAGAAGGTGATCGCTAGCCAGTAAGTAGTCCAGATTAGATGGTTTATCACTTTCTTTCCAGCGGGTGTTGTCACTAATTTATTCGTACAGTTCGGCCATTTGGATGGCATTTAGTAGCTTACAACCGAATTTCCGGCTTACAGTCATGCCACCTTGCCCCAGACTGAAATTTTGAGCGTTGAAGTCGCCAGCTACTATGATCTGGTCATACCCCATAGTCGACTCTATGGGCATTATTTTAGGTGGTTTTCGGGTTGTGTTCCAAGTTGCTGTTAGGGGACCTATAGATTTCTCTAACCAGGAACTTTGTTTGTTTGACCGTGAGGTGGCACCAGAAAGAGTCTGGGAGCTCTGTCGGTACAGTGTCAGTGGTTTTTTCACTTTTGAACCAACCGTTCACGTATATTGCAACCCCTCCTCCATCCCTGTGTTCTCTGCCCCTCCTGAACAGAAGTATGTCGCCTATGTTAACTCCAGTGTCATTAATTTTCGGTGGTAATCATGTTTCCTTCACGTTCATGGTTTTTGGGACAGTGTCGGAACGGAGTGTTTGAAGCCCGGACCGTTTACTTCGGAGCTGCCTCACGTTGCTGTAAGGACACCTAGAAGGGCTCCTCGTAACTTGATATGCCTCTGGGTTAAGCAGCAGCATAGATTTGTATGTTTGGGTTTTAAATGACCGGCCAGTTCTAATGGAATCGACCCAGTTAATTTTTTCCTTGTCTGTTGGTTCAGTTAGTTCTTGAGAGTTCCACCACTGCCTGTCTAACGCGTCCTTATGCTTCAGAAGGCTATCATCGAGGACAGGAACCTTTAGTAGAATGACAGAGTTAGAGCGGCCAGGGATGCCAACATTATGTGATTCTATGGGTGCATTTTCACGGATAATCTTGGAGTGACTCTATAGGTAAATAGTCATGACAACAAGGTGTATGTTCGGAGATTAATAAAAACCTTCAGTTTTACGGCTCTTGCGGTCTCCTGCCAAGGCGGAATTCACTGGCGACGCTTATGGAAGCAAAAACTTCAGTAGAACGATGCAAAAAACTACTGAAGTCAAAGAAAACCAACGACTAGCGTTTTAAGTTCGCTACATGAGCTAATCAAGGCATCTAGTAGGTATCGCAACATACAACTCCAGAAAACTGTAAGCACCTAATTCACAGAAATGCTATTATTTTGAATTGAATCGTTCCTACTTGTCTATTCCCCACTTCAACAGTTGTCGTAGTCAGCTCCGCATGGGATAAATGCTACTTACGTCGTGACGCTATGCATCATCATAGAATGGATTGTAGAATGACAGCCAGCTGAAATCAACCTCAAATTCATCACCTTTTAGAAGGCCTTTGATAGCGTCGACCTACAAGTAATTTGGAAACTGCTTCGACGCTATGCTTTCAGTGCCACAAATCCGTATCAACCTCATTCAACAGATATATGACGACGCCACATGCCAATGATCCACAATGGAAAGCTCAGCGACGCCTTTGAAGTGAAGACAGGAGTACGACGAGGCTGCTCACTACCACCCGTGATCTTCCTAATTGCGGTGAGCTGGATCATACAGCAGACCATGGGGAGCAAGGAGATGGGCACACGCTGGCTGTTTCACCGACGAAAAGAGTCTAGAAGATTTGGATTTCGTCGATGATAATTTATGTCTAATGCCGCAGAAACTCGGAGACCTACAGGCGAAAACTCACAAGTTGACAGAAGGGGCAGGGCGGCAAAGACGGAACTTCGAATGAATGTAGAGAAGGCGGAGGTGATGAAGATACCCAACCAACAACAGCATCAACAACAAGAGGCGCTAACCACCATCATCGTGAGAAACCTAGAGGGAGTTGTCTTTTTCACCTACCCACCTAACTAGGAACCCAAGGGTAAAATAATAATACCAATACGTCGTAAAGTTTACCCTCATGTTTGCTGAGGTATTTTAGTCGCATAAGCCAACAAAACGTATCGCAGGGGAAAATAACTTATGTGCCTCACAAATTTTTACTGCAAAGGCGATTGGTTCTGGGCATTAGGGCTATGAAAATTATGCCCTTCGTCATCCAAGCGAGAGAGTAAGCTTATTTTATAGATCGAAAGTCACTCTTGCGCACAGTTAGTGGAATTTTAATATTAATTCCGGCAAAAGGCATCACCAGGTTACGGTGATGCTATTGTGATGACCAAAAAGTGATTCAGAATGCAATGTCTTGTCCAAAATGGCCTCGAATCAATCAAAAGCACACGACTGCGAATTCTCTGTACAGTGCGCTTAGTTTCTTGAGTTACGACTGGTCAAATATACCCCATTGATTACAGAACACAATCAGTCTGGTTATATGTGTATGAAATGTTCGGGACTATTGGATCACTGTGCAATATAAAACTGAAAGGTGCCTTGACATTGTACAGTCAAAAATAAAATTTCTGATTCAAAATATCAACCCAGGTGATAAGAGAGGTCAGTAAGTGATGAGAATCACATACAACGAGAGAAAGTATTAAAAATAGAGGGGGCCAAAAATATCCACCTGCAAGAGTCAGATCAGATACATAGAACGCCTCGAGCAGACAGTCAAGTCACAATCGAAATAGCGGTGGCCTTCTACACTGTTTTAAACAGAGTAAAACAACAGTGAAAATAAGACAAAACCTCTAACGTAGCAGATGATAGTTGAATAAACTGAATTATACAAGACGGATGCAAATACGGTTTTCCCAAAGCTGAGAAGAAGCGTTACCTGAAGTCGGAAAACGGGGCAACAAAGACATGCTCCGATACAATACAAAAACAGAACAGTAAAGGCAAATTTAACTTCACAGGTCCTGCAGGAGAGATTTTCCGTTGCAGCCATACATGATGTTTTGCGCTATACACATAGCTTAGTGTACTCCGTAACAGTTATCAAACTTCTGGAAAATTAAGAACGTTTGGGATTTGTCCTGGTGCGAACTTGACAGACGCAAAGACCAATCACTAATTATTCGGACTTGTTATATACCCACGAATATGAGACCAAGGAAGAACACGATAGCGTAGTCTGATGGAATAGTATATTTGGATGGTTGTGTCAAAATACCGATGCGTTCCAACTAACTGGCTAGAGAGTCGAATACGAGCAGTGCAACGTAACACGACAGCGTGCCAAATGGCGAGGATGCTTGACCGGGTGCCTTCAGCTTAGCGAGTCCAGTTAAACTATCAAGGTCAGCATCAATGTCGAAAGTCGTCAAACCTAGGCCATTGATTTTGGGGAAGTGTGTGACACTACAAACGCATTTTAATCTTGAAGATTGATTTCACTGTTCTTAGTGAATCATGATTACCTAGTTCTAACTTAACTGCCCAGGTGTTGGTGCACTCTTCACTGCTATCATTTCCATCCAAGCGCAAACTGCTCAAAATAGTCTGCTAAAGCCGTTCAGCATAAAGAGAAGTCAATATTTTCTCTGCTCTTAAAGGTAAATAACCGTACCTGCCTTGAAATAACTCCGAAGATTCGCGCCATCAAGACAAAAGTGGGCAAGGGAAGAAACAAATTTTCGTCTGTTGATTTATCTTTAGTGTCTCAGGACGCATTATTTTACTGCAGCATTTGATGTTGATACATCCTTACTATTATGGGGGCCAATAATTCACCCAGATTACGGCCTAAGACTCGAAGAACTTTTGACAATGAGGGTGACTTTCGTGGTCATAGTGGAATCACTTGACCGAGGGTAAACCATAATATTTCTCCTACAACTAGCATGTTTTTACGCTGCTTTGCGTCGCGAGTTCCCTATCTTCAAGTCGGTTGGCTGCTACATCTCAGTGTGTTATTGTAATACCGAAAGTATGCGAATAAACCCTGCCTGGAAAAGTGTTTTCTATCTTCTTCTTGCTTCTCTTGAATCCCGAAATGCATAACTCGATAAGGTTTTATAACTTGCGAACCGTCAAACATTCCAAACCTCCAGAAACAAAGGGAGGGTGGAGGGAGAGATGTATAAACATTCCTTATTGTGATGACTATCAAGATCCTCGAGTATGCTGTTAAACTAAGGAGAGGCTGTTTATTGGTGGAGGTGATTAAGTTAGCGAACTTATAAGTGTATCAAGATCATTCTAAATAGAAGAACGTTGTAGGGTGACAGTCACTTGCAAGAGCACGAGTAGAAATTACCTGTCATTAAGTGAATGAAATACCCTTGGAGTTATTCCGACCACAGAAAACGTTGTAAATAAAAAGTATTGTCACGAGAATCATTGAAGCTGATAACCTCTAGCTATTCTGATAGGCTTAGGGACAATAGTTCATGAAAACTGAACCAATTCAATGTCAAAAAAAGGATTTTAATTGTTTGTGTTGATGTTTTTTGTTTAAATATATCAAAGATAGAAAATGCATATAAATCATTTGTACTCACATTTATGAACTCGTTATGTTGCTGACTGTCTTCTTGCTCATTTATTTCTTCTGTAAGACTGGGGGAACTGATGATAGACGTGAAGTTTATTTTCAACCCAGTAAACTTGTCTTGGGACAAGGTGAATCTGAGTTGATAAAAGTAGGATTCGAGTAAGTAGAATATGTACATTTTTCGTACCCTAGTATTCTTGAATGATGTCATTATCATTATTTCAATTAATTATCATGCCATTTTTTTTAAGAAAATTTGAGGCCGAAAGTGACGCTTTTTTTGGTAGTTGGTTTTTGAGTAAGGATATTTATGTTGTAATTGGTAAAGAGTGAAAATAAAACTTGTATTTTAGAGTGTAATTGGTTTTTCATAACGGATTTCCCTGTTCACTTTTGCACACATATGGCAAATATTCCATCATGTTTAGTAATAACTAGAATAAATGGCGTAGTCAATAATATCTCGTTAAGGAGATATGTGAATTTTCAGAACATTACTGCATTGTCGGGAACCGAATAGAACCAATTTTAGTGAATGTGCTCTAGATTATCATCTCAGATTGAGAAACTTTTCATAATTATCTTGGAAGTATCTGACATTATGACATAGAATATTTAATATGACTTTCTGCATCATGTAAACTATTCACTTCGGCAATAAAATGATAAAAAACGTAAAAACAATTATGGTGGAGAACTGTTAGACCTTTGGATACTTTATCTGCTTTATAACTGTCCTCAGTGTGTTTCGTGTACAGAGAATGCCTTCATTAATTTAAACTAAGTCCGTCATGACTATGGCGAAAAAAATTTGACAAAAGACATTTAAGTAGCGAGGTAGTGAACAGCTGGAGAAGTATTCTGAAACAATAATAAAGCTGAAAGGAAGGAGCTACTACATGTTGCAGAATGTTGGTATCATTGCTTCTCTGTTCAGTTGCTTTCACAATGGAAAGTATCGTTTTAGTCTAACTAACCAAGAATTGTCAACTAGATTTTAAAATTCCAACACGTGGTTAACAAACGAAGTTGAGATATGGATAGTAACTGTGGTTATCTTTATTTTTACCCACCATCTTTGATGGTTCAAATATAGTTTAAGAGATAGCTAAATATTTTGAAATCGCTGCACTGGATCAAATATTAATTAGATTTGAAAACTTACATAATGGTCATAATGGAAATCATAGTGAAAATTATATTCAACTGCTTAAAATATAATTGAAATGTTTGGTTTCCACTTGTTTCTTTACATTCTTTGCATACTACTCATGCCCACATTTACACTTAAAATTGGTTGCGTGAACAAGCATTTTATGTTAAATATTGTCGAAAGACTACCGCTACTGTTGTTTCCTGTGATTTGAGCACAAACTTTGATTAGCTTTTTAAATGAAAAATATGTGGAAACAAGTTATAACAAACAGTTTTAGGGAGCTATGGTGAAGTAACGTTGATCTCTAACTACAAGTAGAAATTTGTGTACGATGTCCGTGTGAATGAAAACGTCAGTGGCAATTAAAAGAGAGTTGGATAATTTGATAATGACTGCTGTTATTTTCTGACATTATTTGAAGTACCTTAACGAACGAGAGAGCACTCACTTCGAGACTTCTTAACTTCGCTCTCCTCTGACTCTATATGAAGTCGCGATCAGTGCATAGATTTCTGTTGATCATTACATTTTCATTTGGTTACTTTCTATATTACAAGAGCGAACTTTAGTTATACTAGGACACATAGTGTTGGAATTCGAACTAACTTTATAGATCCTCTTTTTTTCTTCTCATCAAATCATCTCACCATCACAAGTAACAACATGAAAATTATTGGAAGTTTAGGGGATTTTTATTAAGCGTTTGATGTTTTGCGGTCTTGCGTAGAAGAATGCATGAGTAGCTTTGTCCTTTGAAAGCACTTTCTTGTGTTCTCTTCAGTTTGCTATAATGATGCGATAGAGTACTTCTATGCCTATTGGATTTTATTGTCATAAAAAGCACTACCATAGAAGTACTATGATACAGTTGGAAGTTATTCACAGTGGAGTCTGCACTAAGCAGACAACTCTTTGACCCTTAATATATACATATATATATATATATATATATATATATATATATATATTGTATACGTAAATGCCAGTTGACCATCGATTGGTGCACTGTACCAAAAATTCAATTTTCTTGTAACATACAGGTATCTACAGGTGAATAATACCATCGAAAACTTGATCTGAAAGGGCTTTTGATTTCCAAATAAGCACTTTTAATCTTCCTGCAGAGTGTTGTTTACTAACCTTTTTATGATTTCTCAGTTTTCCTATGCATAAGATCTTGCACATTCAGATAACAACTGGGTTAAAGAGAGAATTGTGGGCTTACGTTGAAATGAAATATTTTACTACTTTAAACTATTAGTTTTGGTATGAGGCTATCAGGCAATACTTTCAGATAGGGTGAATAAAAGTTTAGACTGCAAAGCATAGAAAGAAGTTGCTAAAATTTTAAAAGGTTGTTTGCTAAGATGTTGCTTTTTTGAACAGTCTTGTCTTTATTTTTCACTTCTTTGGGTATTTAATGTTTTTTGTTACCAATGTCTTTTGTTCTTAGTCATCCAGTTAGCTATTTTGTTGACATCAAACTAAGTTACTGGGATGGAAGCGGCACTATGATTTCACCAGAAGATATGCATCGTGCAGCCATTCAACCTGTATCTGACTTCACCATAGAAGGTTGCAAGAAGAACCCTCTATGGTCAATATAATAGCTAACTTTCCTGGTCACATATATTTAAAAATAAGACCACCTGAAGATGTCGTTATTGTGAAGTAAGCATAAAATAACTTTAATATCCTTGTGCATAATAAATGTTTCATGGTATTTTAATGATTGACAAATGCATATACTGCGTAAAGTACCTAATAATCCATATTGTTATTGAGGCATTTCTTTATCTGCTACCTTTATGGACAAAATATTTATTGATGGCTTCGGTCTAATTTATGAAGTCAATTTAAAGTGAGATTTTCGGGTATCATGAAACATCTCTAACATGGTACATTACTCTTTTCGGAGAAGTGAGATAAAAACACCTGCAAAAAAGAATATGATGCGAATACACAGCGAATCAGGTCATTGAGGTGATTGTTAACAGTTATCATGACGACGAATCGGAAATACTGTTATCAAAAGTCATCGAAATAAACTGAGAAGAAGTAGAAAGGAGGAAAATAAAGTAAGGACATATCAGTCAACTGTCCAGATGAGTGAAGACGACTTGTATTTGTCGTCACCACTGTAACTGAACTCCAGTTATACCATGTAAAGTCAACAACTGTCTATTTCATTTTTTTGACGTAGTCCCTCGAATGGATGTGGACTTCACTCTAGGGGTGAGAACAGCGTTCAGTGATACCACGTACTGAAGTCATTGGTTATTCAAGACTTTCATACCTGGTTCCGCTAATGCCTTACTCTAAGTAAGGTGGTACGGTAAAGTAAATTTCAGATCGTGAACTATTACTCCAGTGGCCAATTCAGTTATTGAAAGATCGTATCATCAATTTTTCCTCAAATTCATAACACTGAAGATTGGAAATAGTAGAAAACGTTTGTTTGCTTTAACTTCCATTTAAATTGTTGAGTCTTTATGTATGAGATGATCTATGAAGTATGCAACTTGTCTTAAGACATTTCAGTTACTTCTCTATTGATTTATACAGACACCTGCTGTTATGTATGACAACATTCTTCTTAAATCTAGTGTTGTTATGAATTACATTTATTATTTTTTTTGAAGTATCAGGGATATTGTTACTAAGATGTTTGTATGTTCTGAATCACGTTTAGGAAGATTCCGAGTACTGCGATCACAATGGGATATTAGTTTTACCGGTGAAATGTTTTTCACTAATCATGATTACTATAAATAGACAGGACTCAACAAATAGACTTGTCTACTGATTTAGTTTGGAGGTTTATGGGGATTCATTTATTGATTTCAGGTTGGTATTCATCATAAAATGATATCAGTTGAAGGAACATGGGGAACTTAGAAGCATTGGACAGCTATTACATTCTGTTATCGGAATCTCCAGCAGTGCTCACCCATGACCTATCAGGGATCGAACCCAGTCCCTTCAGGTTCTGTGGCCGGTACAGTATAATTGGGCCACTGGGTCGCGATATAATGGTCCATATTTCCCACTTCTGTCAGTTCACTATATAGTTTAATCTCCGTCCAATACCGTCGTTGACTAACTGTCCTCATTTCTTCTTGGTTAGCCCTACCGGTCACGACTTCTCTTCGGAATTACCTCTCGAGGCTAGTCACAATGGGCACTAGATTAACTCAGTTTGGAGGTTTGTAGGGATTTATTTATTGATTTTTGGTTTATATTCATCATGAACTAACATTTATTGCTTTCTAGAACTGCTTGTGTTAACTGATAGGTGGTGGCTTTTTGTGTCGATCAAGAGTTTGTCCTTTGTGCATTGAATCAATTAGTTATAAATAATTTCGAAACTGATCTTTTCAAACAGTGGTCAGTTTTGTAATTTTGGCAGTGTTTCAGGCAAAATTATTGCCTTTGACCAAACCAGTGGTAGGAATATCAATCATGTAAACTACGTTTTTATTTTGTCATTTAATTTTATCTATCGAGTACGACCTTCTATCTGGCTGACAATTCAGCTGAGTCATCGTAGTTAAATGCATTAGGGCGATACATATCTACGATGAAATTTAGATGTTTTTCTGTATTTTCATCTATATCACGTTGTCAATAGGTGTTTAACTATAAGATCTATTTGTTTTCACAATATTCAGCTACAGTTTGATTACCTGTTCAAGGTTGTTGTTCACTTGTTACTGTATTAGGATCGCAACTAGAAGCATACTGATCTGAATCTAACTCTATCTGATGTTTTGTCTCATTCTCATCAAAACAACAGTTGACAGTATAGGGCTGATTGAAGTAAACTACTTAGATGGTAGATGTTGCTGTTAGTCTATGCACTATAGTTATCAAGTGCACAAGTTTAAGTGTTGTGAATTAAACATGCTACTGAATCATGGAGCGTAGCTACAGACAAGCTAATGTTAATAATTGAATCCTAGGCAACTTAGAAATTAGCAGACCGGTTCACTCATCTCATGGAAATGTGGTTCATTGTTGTATTCTTATTGCAAATTATTGTATCATGAATTTGAACCATACTGTAATTATTTTCACCTGGGCAACTAGGATAGTATTGTCAACAATTGTGATTTATAGCCCAATGCACTAACTTCTACAAAGACTGTAAGTCTGTAAGCTTATGGCACAAAAGTGGACGTTAAGAAAACAGTTTTCAGCAGAAGAGAAAAGCCAATTGATGTGCTTGTGAACTATCATTGGTTCAAGTGACTAGAATGTGCACCATGCAATGCAAGTCGCCGTCTGATGCGTCAAAAAATGTTGTTTGAATTTGGTTCAGGTTAGAAAGAGGTCAGAGACGGCTGGACTGAGATATTACATCTGTCCATGAAGTCTGATTATCCTGAGCCATGTAAGGAAATGTGGGCTACCCGGTCAGGGTCTTTGTACCTGCAGAAATTGGTGGTTAGAGACTCAAGGTTATATGGCTCAGAATCAGTGTTGGTGGTACAAAAGTATCCATCATAATTATCAAACTGTATTTCGGTATTCTTCACTCTTCCTTGCATTCTTTCACGATTTTCTATCACTTTTAACTGTCTACTTCTCTATTTCTGCATATTTCATCTCGTTGCACTCTCGCTTGATGTGCTGATGTGAGGTATTGGAGCTTGAATCGTCACTCAGTAATGTCCGGTACTATGCTGATATCATCTGTTTGCATTAAAAGCAATCGGTCGAACGGTTGAATTCGTTTTGCAAGCTTCACATCTGTATATATGTATATATGCAATCCACGAGAAACTTTAAGTAATGGTTGATAGAACTAACAATATTGACGGTTATAGTTATGATACGGTTACTAGTTGATGACATTGAGGGTGAATAACGACAAAAATGAGTTACGTACAAATTTAGGTACTTCATATGGTGCATATAAGTCAAGTGACAGAGCGAATAAACCACAAAGGCTCAGTAGTATGATTGCGATAAGTTAATTAAGGTAAAACAAAGGACTCACGTTGACAGTTGTAATTATTAGGAGAATTAAGTTAATTAACTCCGACAACTGTGTTAAATGTAAAGATAAATTACTGTATTCACTGTGTTGATGAAACATCCATATGCTTTTTGACTCTGTTTATTGTACAGCTGTGATGTACACCATACTCATAAGGTAACCTCCAAACGAAGACAAAATTTGTGAATTTAAGGTTTCCTCTGGCACAAATTTATAGTTTCTGCAACATGTCTCTAACATAGTGCAATTTATACATGAGTAATGCATAAGTCAGATATAGATATTGGGTAAGAGAGGTGGTGCTTTTGATGAGATCATAAACCTTGGTCAATGAGAATGGCCTGGGTAAATGTCACACTCTACTTGGCATCGTGTCCAATGCTTTATCTTACATTGAGTGGAATATGGGTGGGATTAGATTGTGGAACTCTTGAATAACCAATGACTTCAGTACGTGGTATCACTGAACGCTGTTCTCACCCCTAGAGTGAAGTCCACATCCATTCGAGGGACTACGTCAAAAAAATGAAATAGACAGTTGTTGACTTTACATGGTATAACTGGAGTTCAGTTACAGTGGTGACGACAAATACAAGTCGTCTTCACTCATCTGGACAGTTGACTGATATGTCCTTACTTTATTTTCCTCCTTTCTACTTCTTCTCAGTTTATTTCGATGACTTTTGATAACAGTATTTCCGATTCGTTGTCATAACAACTACTGTCACCTCAACGAACTACTGAGTAGTTTGTCAACCTAACAAATATTTTATTATTGAAGACCTTATATTAACCTCGCCTGGTTAACTAGTTTACTAGTTACTAGCCGGTCCTAAGCCCGGGTAAAGAGGGAAGGTTGGGCATAGGGCTAGCAACCCTACCCCGTAAAACAAATCTAACCGCTAAAGAAACTTCAAAGCACAAACAAAATATAAAAAATGAAAACAAACTTATTCCCCGCTGGAATCGGAGAGGCGAAATGACGCCAGTTGGTGAAAGCCTTCGGGAAGCCAATTGGCCGATGTGTCTTCTCTCGATGAAAGCGAAAGTAAACGTGGGGACATGGAATGTCCGTACGATGTTTGAACCCAGTAAGGCAGCCCAGATTGCAAAGGAGATGAGAAGGTATAACATCGAAGTGCTTGGGATTTGCGAAAGCAGATGGAATGGGAGTGGACTCTCCAAACTGTCAACTGGAGAATCAATAATCTACTCCGGTCACCCAGACGCCAACCACGAGCACACTGAGGGAGTGGCTATCATGATGTCCTCAAGAGCATCGAAGGCTCTCATGCAGTGGGAACCAATCTCCTCCAGGATCATGACAGCAAGATTCAACTCAAAAGGAAGAAAGGTCACAATCATACAATGTTATGCACCTACAAATAATGCAGAGCAAGAGAAAAAGGAGGAATTCTACAGACAACTTCAATCAACACTGGACAAGACGTCAGTTGGCGATATCAAAATTCTAATGGGCGACATGAATGCCAAACTGGGAGGTGACAACACAGGAAGAGAACTAACCATGGGTCGAGAGGCGCTAGGTGAAATGAATGAGAATGGAGAATTGTTTGCAGAATTCTGTGCATTCAACGATTTGGTGATTGGAGGCAGTGTGTTCAGGCACAAGGATATCCACAAAGCGACATGGACTTCACCAGATGGACACACTAAAAATCAAATCGACTTTATCTCAATCTCAAGAAAATGGAGACGCAGTCTACTTAACACAAGGTCAAGAAGAGGAGCAGATGTAGGTTCAGACCACTATCTAGTGCAAGGAACCTTCCAAATCAAGTTAAAAGCCTTCAAGGAAGCTGGTGATAGACCTCAATTCAAGTACAACACTCGGAAACTGAAGGATGAAACTACAAAGGAGATCTTCAAAGCAGCCATCAAGACAAAATGGGAGACATCGAGGGACATCCCTGAAGAAACCTGTGTGGAAGAACACTGGAAGTCTTTGAAAGCTATGTGGAAAGAAACCTGCACAACAGTATTAGGAAGGAAGAAGAAAGAAGACAAGGAATGGATCTCGACGGATACCTGGAAGCTGATAGAGGAGAGGAGGATGGTGAAGCAGAAGATAAACCAGTGCAAGGATGCTCAACGACAAGAGGAACTGAGCACAATGTATAAAACACTGGACAAAGAAGTGAAGAAGAGTGCACGCAAAGACAAAAGACACTTCTACGAAACACTGGCAAGTGAAGCAGAACAGGCTGCAGGTAAGAGAGACCTGACGACATTGTATCAAATAACCAGGTTGCTATCAGGGAAGAGACCAACACAGATGAAACCAATAAAAGATGAAGAAGGAAATTTAATTACAAAAGAAGAGAAACAGAGGAAACGATGGGCCGACCACTTCAAGAAGCTCTTGAATCGACCACCACCTGCACTTCGTCCAGAAATACCACCTGCAGCCGCTGAATTACAAGTGAACATAAATCCCCCAACGAAAATGGAAGTCCTGAACGCCATAAAGCTACTGAAATGCGGGAAAGCAGCAGGACCAGATGGAATACCGCCAGAAGCACTGAGAACAGATGCAGAGACAACAGCGGACATGCTCACACCACTATTGCAGAAGGTGTGGAAGGAAGAGAAGGTACCTGACGATTGGAAGAAGGGTTACCTTGTCAAACTGCCGAAGAAGGGAGACCTCAGTGCTTGCAAGAACTGGCGCGGAATCACTCTCCTGTCCACCCCAAGTAAAATATTAAGCCGCATCATCCTGGAGAGGCTTAAAGACGCACTGGATTCAAAACTGCGACCGGAACAGGCAGGCTTCAGGAAGTACAAATCATGTGCTGACCAAATTGCAACACTTCGTATCATCATAGAACAGAGCGTAGAATGGCAATCAGCTCTCTACCTCAACTTCATCGACTTTGAGAAGGCCTTTGACAGCGTCGACCGAGAAGTAATTTGGAAACTGCTTCAATACTACGGAGTACCGCAAACCTTTATCCGCCTCATTCAACAACTATATGAAGATGCCACATGCCAAGTAATCCACAATGGGAAGCTCAGTGATGCCTTTGAAGTGAAGACAGGAGTGAAACAAGGTTGCCTACTATCCCCCATGATATTCCTTATTGTGGTGGACTGGATCATGCAGCAAACAGTAGGCAGCGAGAAGAGGGGGATACACTGGACGACGGAAAAGAACCTAGAAGACTTGGATTTCGCCGATGACTTATGCCTAATGTCACATAAACTTGAAGATCTGCAGGCAAAAACTAACAAGTTGACAGAAGAGGCAGCCAAGACGGGACTTCAGGTGAATATAGAGAAGACAGAAGTGATGAAGATACCGCACCACCACCATCAACAACAACAACAAACTCCAATCACCGTCAACGGGAGAAACTTGAAGGAAGTAACCTCCTTCACTTATCTAGGAAGCACTGTTTCAACTACAGGCGGGACGGACGAGGACGTCAAAGTCAGAATCGGAAAAGCAAGACAGGCATTCATTAGCCTGAAACCAGTGTGGAGATCTTCTGCACTCAGCATCTGGAACAAGATACGGATTTTCAACACCAACGTCAAGTCAGTGCTCTTGTATGGCTCAGAGACTTGGCGCGTCACGAAAGGGATTTCCAATAAACTACAGACATTCATCAACAACTGCTTACGCTCGCTGCTGAAGATCAGATGGCCAGAAAAAATAAGCAACAAGGAACTCTGGGAACGAACCAACCAAGAAGCTATCACGCAACAAATATGCAGGAGAAGTGGAGATGGATTGGCCATGCACTGAGAAGGCCGACTGAGGACATCACGCGTCAGGCCCTCGAGTGGAATCCCCATGGGAAGCGACGAGTTGGACGTCCGAGGGTGACATGGAGGAGGTCATGCGAGGAGGAAATGAGAGCTTCTGGGCTGTCGTGGAACCAGGTTCAAAAGATCTCAGAGAACAGAGGTCACTGGAGGCGTGCTACTGAAGCCCTATGTTCCACTAGGAACCCAAGGGACTAATAATAATAATAATAATAAGACCTTATATCATCTTCATTTTCCTTTTGTAAGAGAAAGTAAATATTTCTACTATTATTGCAAATTTATAGTTGAGTAACGACCATTTTCTTTTGTAGAACACTCAAAAGTAAGCTGCATAAACTCAGGGGTTTTGGAAGTAGTCTTTGTTAATGATGGGTGGTTAGTGCATCATGGAAAAGCATGGCAATAATTTGTAGATTTGTAATCTTTCCTTTTATTTGCTTCTTCTCTTTTATTCCGTTACACAAAACAATGAAATATCTAGCCAAGAAACAGCTGTTTGTCGAATATCTGTTGTACGTAGTCGTTGGTTGGGAATGCTTCAGATGTTTCTTGGTTGGCTCTACTTTGCTGCTTGGACTGTTTCATTCTACCCCCAACTTTTTTTGAACTGGAAAAGAAAAAGGTAATTCATTTGCATTTCCCTCTGAAACCGACTTCTTTGTCGTGAACTGATGAGCTTTAGAGTTTGGTGTTTTGCTGTGTATTTTTCAAAAAGTGATTTTGCACAGAAACTCCTGATTTGCAGTTATCTGCTGCTTTTCTTTAAAGCTTTGTTTACCGTTTTCCAGGCATTTGTTTGTCTTATCTAAAAGATGACGTACATCTATCACATTTGAAAAAGGTTTCAGGCGTACTTTAAATGTGTAGAATTGTGATTTCTTGTGACGTTCATCTTCGATGTGACATGCAGATGATCCTCGTGTGCATTAGAGAAGTTTGAACTGCTTATGCCTCAACTGTGGATTGAACAGAACAATGGAAATTGATTAAGTATTTTGTTTTAGTCTAATCCTGCTCAACAGCAATCGCCTACAGTCGTGTTGTTATATGCATAACGAAATACAGATTTTTCGTCAACCATGTTGCTATTGTATCATGGGATGAAACATAAGAATGACTGAATTCAAACTTTGAGGAGCCCATGATACAATGTAGATATTATTCAGTGTCATGTTTGGTAATCCTTCTTCACTTTGGATGTGACTGATCACAAACGTTGAGACTTCACACGTTAACCTCGAGAACTTCACACGTTAGTTAGTTACCAGTGAGAAGAGGCATGTTGTTCAATCGGAGAATGTTTCCGCCAATGACTGAAGTCGTCTAGGTAAAGATTGTGAAACCGGGTGAGGGTGTTTAAGCATTTCGTTTTCGGTGCACTAAACGAGAAAACTTGCCATTACCTCGTATCTGTGAATGAACACATTTCTGTACTCACTGTAACAATATGCAATACATGTAGATCATCTTATTATGGAGGACAGATAAGAAACATGAAGTTATCTAAGACATTCTAGTTGTCATCAGCCCTATTGAAGTGAAGGGAGACCACAAACGTTTCCAATACTTTCATAGTATGGGAAGGAATTCACTGTGTATTTCGAGTTATAGACAACATTTCTTGTAGTTTATTTCTTCTATTTATTTTTGAATACTCGGTACAACATTGGCGTCAAGAAATGCACTATAGTATTTCTTGTGATGAGATATTTGTAAGCTTGTGAGTTTGCATTGGTATTGAATTGGATACCGGGTGTTTTTTGTATCTTGAGATAATAATAAGAACAGTAGTTGATTGGAAACTGATGTTTTCTAGAAAAACGCCTTGTCTGTACACAGTATTTCACTGAGAAAGAAAGAAATTGGGGAATGAGATGCTAAGTGGAGGTGTTGCATGTGTCAGTGAGTATCCTACGCATTCTGACGTTAGGATTGAAGGTTTGGCAATAGTTGACAGGGTGGTTGGTTGCGTTTGCTACTTTGATCTGTTTAGAAGTTCAGTGAGCATATTCAATCACGCCACTCATATGAACTCAGGACCTTCTGGAAGGGCTGGGTTATATGAAGCAGTGAATTATCAGAGTGTAATCCAATCGACAGTAAGGACTACTGGTATTGGTAAGCCTAGAGAAATTATGCATTGTACTTACTTCAAAGGTGAACACCGACGATGGACAGCTTTGGATCCATACTTCAGTTGTATCAGTATTCAACATCACTAAGTGTTTTTATGCTGTGGAGAGCTGACTATGCCTGCAGGGTGTGAACTCGTGGTGTAATATCAGAGGCATCACCAAAAGTTTGTACTGAGTAGATTCGGTTATTAATTTCTTAATTTGCTAACTTCTGAGAAAGTGTGAAATCGCCCTACTGGACTAAATTGTATTGTGTCTTTATTTTGGCAAGCAACTTTTATTTGACTAGTATACTATATGTTCATGATGTTTTATTCATTTTGTAATTCATGTCAAGTGAAGTGCCGCATATTTGTTGTCTAGGTGAACGGACTTTTATATCTTCTCAGGGATTTAGCACAAGTTTGATAGCATGAATTTATCTCTTCTGATGTTTGTACATGCCTATCACTGATGTTGTTGTATGATAATTTATTTTATGTTTTAGTGTGGTTGGATTTAATTTTGACTTTGCTGTGTTGAATGTGATTGGATTCCTCTACTATAGTATCTATAATGTTGGATTATTTTGGATTCCACTTATACAGGTTGGTGACTGAAAAAATATGTATAAAACTTTCCCGTTTCTATTGTATTCAGGTTTTTGGATGTTTCCGATTAATTCATATTGAGCTAATGTGTTATTCGTATAGGTTACAATTAACGCGATTGATCGTGTAGGTAATGGTGGAGTTCGTTTATGACAGTAACTGTTTCACATTGCATTCAGATTCAACATCAGCCAATCTGCCTGGATGATTGAACAATTCTTATTTAGCAATACAGGTGTATGTTGTAAGATACAGTAACATACTGAAACATTTTACACTGCAGATTTGTCTAGTTTTGATTTACCAATGAAAGTGTTTATCTTAGGGGACTGTAGTTTGTTGAAGTATCTGACAAGGAAATGGGATGACACTTTTCGATATCCTATCTCAAAGCTGTCATCAAATATATGTGTTGAATGCATAGGATGTTTCAGGAATCCGAAGGGATTTTGTTTATTTACACATATTTCATCGAATGATTACTCTCAATTACGCGTTTTCACATTGTTATATACAGGTAATTTTAACCTCTTATTTTTATATATATGTTTCTATGACTCTTATAGGAGCAGTATTTACAAAGAAATCCTTTGAGTACAATACCTGTTCAGATAAATGATTTAGTATTCGCATTTCATGCACTGGCCATATCATTACTCACAGCCTTTCAGATTCTGATTTACGAGGTAAGCTTAAATTGTGTGTGTGAAATTTATAATCTCAGAATTCCAGTGCTATTTTATTTGTCTAACGAATTATTGCTACTTGTTCATTTGTACTAGTCATCACTTATGATATTACTATGTTGCTTTTGGAAAAAAAGCATGATTTTTGAGTTGTATCAATGTTCAAACAGACACTTTACTTATCAGTTATTATGGATACACATCCTTATTCAGTTGAATACCTGTTTAATATCAGTGTGTTTGGAAATTTCACTCTTAACCTTCCGTAATTACTTCTGAATAATGACCCTACAGCTTGAACCTGCAAGATCGTTCTTAATGATCTATTATTAAATAGTTTGTGTGAATTTGGTGTTTTTACTGAGAGGTGGAGAAAAAGTGACAGTGAGCACATTTTCAGTGAAGAATTGATGGTTCTGATTAACTTCAAACCTGCTTAATTAATTAGCAGTGACTTTTTAATGTAACTAGGGTGGCTGTGAGGAGAAATAACCGCTAAGGCATTGAATGGTGGTTACCCTATATTTCTAACTGACAGAAGTTAAAGGAGGTGAGCTGGAAGTAACAGCATGCTCATTGTGAGACCTGGTTGTCATAGGTTCGATCTACTATTAAGTTACAGGTGGTGAATTTTGAGGAGTCCTAGGATGGGAGGAAACAGCTGTGTGGAGCTCTTAGCATTTAATCAGATCTGTACCGGTCTTGTTTTGTGATGGAAACGTCTTTAAAATCTATTACCCATCTACCAAACTCTAAATTGAACAACAGTAAAATTACTACTGATTCGTCTGAAATTAAGGATACTAGAAAAGTGATTAATTCACTCAGTGACTTTAAGTGTGTACGTCAAAATTAAATTTCAGTTGAGGTAGTCATTAAAATGATATCGTTTTCTGGTGAATATAACCTAGAGACAAAAATCAACTAATAAAACTATTCTTTAACATAGAAGTTTGAAGTGTTTATTATTCACACTTATTGAGGAATCTGTATGCCACTTAGGTGCTTATAAGTTGAGGAAGGTTTCTAGGACATTCACAGCTTTCAGATGAGTGTTTTTGGTGTTTACTAATTGGATTCATTGATGTGTTTTACAAGCCGTTATCATGGATTCAGAATGCTTTTTTAAAATGCTCCTTTTGAAGTGTATTTATCACCAGTAAGCGCATCTCAACAACTAACACTATAGACAGTAAAAAAGTGAAATGATCATATTTCTTACTATTCAGAGCCTCAAGAAGTTTTACTTAGATCGTTTTATGTACATAATGATTCATTGACAATCATTCTTGAGATCTTAGAATATATTACGCGATGAAAGAGCCATTCAACCAGACGAAAGAGAATACATTCGTGTTGAATTCCGGATACTAAGTGACTGTGAATATTCGAGCATAATTCCTATCATCTTTTGATATTTTAGGGTTCTGATGCGACTCAACCTGCTAACTAGTCAGTGGTGATTTTCAAGATTTGGATCCACCTTTCTAAGTCATATATTCCTTTCCCAAAAGGGTTGAACACTGATAGGTATTACAGTGCACTAGCAATCTATGCTACTTGTATTTTCATTCACTTCGGTATGATTCGAGATGTTCAAGAATTATCTAGTTGTATGTCAGAGTGCATGACTAGCATTCTGGACATTTGACAGATATTATTTGCTCATGGGACTTAACTAATGGAATTCATGAATCTTATGTTTCCCGTAAAGAGTCCTTTTTACTCATACACGTTTTGTCAAATAAATCCTTTTATAGGTCAAATAATAGTTCTAAATAAAAGTTAGTATGTATACAAGTATGAAATTCTTTTTATCCGTATCAACTTCACGAAACATTTTCAAATTGTATGAAAAATATTGTTATCTTTGTTATCTTTGTGAAAATTATTCAAAATTGCCTCTGGTGGATGAATATCCCTTTATAAAAGAACATATATTCACTACATGGTTTTTACTTCACATGCTGCATAGCAAACAGTGATAATTATTTCATAATGTCCGTTGACTGCCATCCATATACAACACATCTATAATTTAAGCATCTCTTCGTGCTCTCATTTGATTTTGAAGTTTGATGACTTGCTAATTTTTCTATAATGTTAAATGGTTTGTGAATTATCAAGTCTTCGTCTTGCGAAAGTTTTTGATATGTTTAAAAATGGAGTTACTTTAAGCACCCTGCTAGTAACTACTGAAATAACCAATCAGGTTTTGGTATTTCAAGTAGGCAAGCAGGTCCTTGTAAAATAAAGGAACATGATTAGTTATTTCAGCAGTTATTAGGGTTGCCTTTAGAGTCACCCCAGAAAACGTTAGACGAAAACTAAAGCAACCCACCATGAAAAGAAAGCCTGTTTTTGTTGAAACTTCTGGGCTGCTAAGTTACATATTGGCAGCACGTCGCATATATATATATATATATATATATATATATATATATATATATGGTGCGCCAAATCATTTCTGAATAATAGTGATGCTGAGATGGCTGGCGTATTGACCTGTGTAATATGTTGGGTTAGCAGGTTCATTCACATACCGACAAAACTCTTATATCAAGAAGGATCTATAGAGAAGGGAGCGAATTTTGTGGTACTTGGAGAAATATGATCAAGTGGATATATATAAAACATGACTTATGCCACTAACAGTTTATTTAGTATTGAAAAACGCTAAAATCTGAAAAAATAAACCTTAGGTTTTATTTGAATCTAACTAAATACTCATTCGTGTTCTTCGGATGCATTTTTGAGTGTTTGCATCCTTTATGTATAATATGAATTATAGAATTTATGATAAAATTGGCAATTGTCGTGAACTGAAAGAAGCAGGAAATATAGACCATTGGATGTAGACTCAGTGGTTCAATGGTGACATGCTGGTCGCGTAACCTGAAGGCCTTAGGTTCGATCCTTGGTGGGTTTATGGGTACCTACTGCTGAGGAGTTCAATGGTAGGACGAAACAGATGTCCAGTCCTATCAGGTTTTCAGTGTTTCTCCAACTGATGTCAGTTCATGGTGAACACCAAACTGAAGTCAATAAATAAATTCCCACAAACCTCCGATTGAAAGTTCAAATCGTCGACACCTTAGTTCACTTATTGTTTCTTTTATCAAGAAATGTATTGAATACATTTACCCTAATCATCAGAATAGTAGATTTTATTTACATATTTGAATATTTTTAAAAAGGATGTTTCTTTATGTTGTTGCTCACTCGGTGGCTAGAAGTGAAACTCAGATTTCACAATATGTCCTATTTGGGACTCATCAGCTAGATGTATCAACCGTGATATTGTTCTCATTGTAACTGAAACTCAATGCCCATCACTTTAAATACCAAAGCATTGTTCACTAAGCTACTACGGCATGATAATCACCTCCTGTATAATGGGTATCAGTTGTTATTTATTGGTACTTGTAATCTCCCGCTGCCATACTGGGTCGAATTATTGAATCACTTTCGGCAGGTGTGCTCCTATGCGAATCCGTTGATACTGCCTGAATATTTAATATGTTATAGTCTACTTGATAGTGATATAGTAATTTTTTACGACTGCATACGAGGATGTAACATTTATTTATCCCTAGTTCTGCATATATAATAGAAGATGACTACACATCAAGCGTTATTCTAAGGTTTTGAGCACCTTAGACTAAAAAAAAAACTATTCTGTAAATTCCTGTATCTTTATTCATTACTATTTCAGCGTGGTAATCAACGTGTTTCAATTATGTGTATAACACTGATTGTACTGATTGCAATTTATTCAGTGATTGTTTGTGCATTGGGTGGAGCCAGTGTTATAAAATGGTTGGATACCTTCTACTTGTTATCTCATGTCAAATTGTTGATTTCATTTGTCAAGTATACACCACAGGTAAGAAGATGCAGAAAAGGAAAGATATGCTTAAAATCTTTTCTTTTTTTATGTTCCTTACTCACCGCAGCTTAAAATATTCTGCAGAGAAAAAACAACAACACATTTTTGGAGTGCTTTTAAAATTTTCTATTGTTTCTTATTTTATGTATACTAAAGAAGTATTAGATTGAAAGGGAAGATTACGAGATTGATGAGGACTAATGTAATGAAATATGAGACTACTTAAGAAGACCATATAATGACCTCTTTAGTCCCCTTGGTAATTAAGTTGAATTACATAGCGGTTAATTTACTTATACAGCTAAAAATAAATCTTCTGTATTCTTGACTGAGTGATAAGATAATAATCAAGTGGTAATTCACATTCCCAGTGTTTTTACTCAGAAACAGTCACCAAACATGTACGTAAAATATTGATGTCATCATATTGTAGCGGGCGTTGCTGATAACAACGACTATAAGTAGTATATATCGAGAGGGTGGCAGGAATCATCGGGGATTACCGGCAATGGGTAAAGTTTCTGCCAAGAGCAACGCAGGGGACAACACAGGCGTATTACAGGGGATGCCGCTATCTCTTTCTGAAGGCTGTTGATTTGCCAGTTATTTACCTCTGGTGACTCCACTACCGCTACTCCGGTACCCATTAGCTGTCTGGTCACCTTGGCTATTCCGCTAATGTCCATGGGCTGGGCTGCATTGACTAGTCGTAACTGGTGGGCAATGGCATTCGGGACACTCTCAGTGAACTGTGCGGTCAGCAACTGTTGTTGAGCATCCTCATCCAACACAGGAAGCGCTCGTCGAAGTAGTTTGGTCAACTTCACAGCCAACACCAGCGGATCTTCATCTATTCCCAGCTTCGCACTGTGGAACTGCTGCATCGCCTGCTCCCTGTCCGCCAGCTGTCGAACTCCGCCTCCAGGCGCTGAACCATTATCCGCCAAGTCTCCTTCCCATCACCACGTTCCACTCCGTCATATGCTGCTTTCGCTCAGCCCCGCAGCAACGTTCCCAGCACCACGACCTTCGCCTTCGCCTCCGGATCCCAACCCCCACCAGCTCCGCTACCGCCTCGATATAGCTTGGCATGCCCAACTCTTAAATGTTTCATTTCATCCTCAAAAAAGTAGACGTTTCGAGGTATAAAATGTAGATTATCCCTTCATTTTATGTTACTGATGGATAGTAGCTAGCGGTGTAATCCAAGACAGGTGTTTCGTCCTATTTAAGACTCGTAAGCTGGATGTACCTGCCTTCCAGTGAGCGTTGTTTTCCCACTAGGACTCGAAATCGCTGCCGATTGCTTCAAATGCCAGGGTGTTATCTATTGAACCACCGAACCACGGCAACTACTTCTTGTGTGATGGGTATAGTTTTTTAAAATGTTGTCGCTTGTACTATTAACTGCTACCCACTATCCACCATTCACATATAATTGAAACGCAGGCTGTATCGAAGCATCCACATAGAAGCCCATGTGTCAATAGAGATAGATCAATTCAGTCGACTTAACGACGGGATAATACAAATAACAATTTTATCCTGTAATTTCTTACTGCTATAAAATGTATTTAGTGACTTCAATTATAGTTAAGTATTTGGTATCTTCAGCCAACTACACTGCTCTTTATTCGTCACAACCCTCCATAATAGTAATCCTTGAGTATTCTAGCCCGTAAAATAAATTTTGGTTGTAATATCTAAGTAGGTATGAAGTAGTGTTGATGCATAAATAAACTTTTATGCTTATATTTATAGTTTCTGACGACTAAGCAATCCAATTCACTTATAAGGTAGAAAATGAACAAGGAGAATTACCATCTGTGTTGGATTGAAGGATAAAAACAAAGACAGACGGTGGCCTGGATATTACCATCTACAGAAAACCCCAACAGGTATCTTAACTTTAAGTCATCTCATACAATGTCAGTTAAGACAAGCTTAGTCAAGTGTCTAACTGATTGAGCTAGAAAACTGACTAGTCATTGCAAGGACCTGAACAAGGAATTGAAGCGTATAAAAGAAGCACTAATAGTTAATAATTACCCTCCACAGTTTATTAAGAAATCCGTACAAATACATAAAAAACGAAAAATAACAGTAACAGGAGTACTAATAATAAGGACAATACAAATAGAAAAGAGTTTACAGCCTCCATTGTGTTACCCTACAAGGAAGGCACATCAAAAACTTTACGAAGAATCCTCAACAAACCTGGAATGAGGGTGGTATTTCAACCTACAAACTGACTCAGAGACTCAGAGGTCAAATACATAGGTCAAACTAATCAGTTGGGGTCAGTTAGAATAGTGGAATATTGGAATTTAGCCAAATGTAGAATGACATACGTGAATAAGACCAATAATCTAGGGGAGAACTCGGTTATAGCAATGCATGCATTTACTTATACATACAGCTTAAATATCAGTCATTTCAAGCTTTGTTTAAAGAAGTCAATAAAAGAAATATATCAGTGTTAAAGTGTAATTTCTTATGGCGAAATCAAAACTGAACGTAATTTAAGATTGATTTATGAAGGCTATAGTTTAAGATTTATGAGAAGTTGCCTGAAACATGTAATTAAGAAAATGAGGTATTTTTAAGATTGAGCAGTCCACTAACTGAATGTGTGACTATACTCGGGCATTATTGTCATTGAGCAATTTTCTTATTTTTCCTAATGAAGAAGTGTTAAAAGTAGATAAAATTCTTTTTTTTATCAAATGAATTTATTTATACAAGAATTGATTTCCTTGGGTAATAGGTTTTTTTGTAATTAACATTTCACCATTAAGTGTGTTTTTAATGTGATACCTCCGGGAGGTTAATTTTCCAAAATTTCTGTAGATAAAAAGTAATGCGGTAGTCTTAGTTTATTTTTCTTTGATTTTTGAATGTGTTTGTCTCCATAAAATGAACAGTTGGTACATCTAATACAAGCTACCGGATGATTGTGGTTTTGAATTGTTTTATATCAGTGCAACGAAGCTTACTGACAAAATCAACGTAGAACCTCGCATAGAAGTGCGCCGGCTCAACCTACCACTCTTCATAGTAGTACACAAAAAAACAAGCGGATAGAAAAAAAGCGATACCAAATTTGACAATGGTGTGTAAAAGAATGAACAATCTGAAGATAACGGTTCGTGCGAATATTCAGGTTTTAGATATCACGGAGTGAATACATTTGTGCTATTGTGATCGATTTTCAGTTGTGTCATTAAGAATCTTCAAACACTGTTTCCATTCGTATCGTGGACCCCAATCAGGTGGCCGACATCTCTCCATGCGCCTCAGGCTAGCAGTGAAGGGTTTCATCAACCGTTTCCATGTCTTGGTTTGGCCATCCTGAACCCTATTCCAGCTTAATGCCCCAGCATAAGTCAGCGAGGTAGGCGGTGACTCAGCATGCGGAGTACATGTCCAAGTCAACTCGGTTGACTAAGGTTCACTATAACATCAATCGACTTGCTTTTACTGCCCAGTTCCCTTCTCCAGTCCTCGACATTTCTCACACAGTGATTCCGTTGAAGGGGAGCAATGATACGAAGACCTATGTGATCGAAACCCTGTGACCACTTCATGTCTTGTACTTTAAATGGACATATCTCATAGCTGTGCAACAGAATAGAACGGGCTACAGCGTAGTATACTCGTCTTTTAGTAGGTGATTGAATATCACGCTAGTCGGCTCCACAGCTGATGCAAGTTAGCAAGTACCAAACGCGGCCTTCTGTATTCCAGTTGAGATTTCGTCACCAACCAACCCGTTCCATCTGACGCAACTCCTGAAGTAAGTGAACGGGTCGATATATTCCACTACTTCACTATAGTGATGCTTGCTGCCCGATTTGGTAGTCAGTGATCAGCTTCTCGAAGAAAGTTTAAGTTAGAAGGGGAATTATGCAATGTTACCATTTCTTATTTGCCATGAATAATTATACATCTGAAGTTAAGTGTACCAACTAGATTTATGTTGTATAAAATGGTGAATGATATATTACCGTCTTTCTAACCTTGCTTGACTCTAGTTTGAAACAGTTCGGTCATACGGATTTGCAACTTTAATCCAGTAACATAATGACTATTTTATACTGAAATATTAAAATTGGTCTCCTTGAAGCGTGCCAGCTGATTAGTGATATGTTGTTCCTTCGTTTTCGTGTGTTATTGGCTAATTATTTATCTATGATTATTATCATAGAAGCATATTTATAATGTTGTGATATTAAATTATTTGAATTAAAATAATGTTTGCTGTCAGACAGACAGTGGCGATTGAGAATATTTTTGAAAAAAACTTATGAAGAGTCTAAGATAATTTACTCGAGGATTACAATATAATGAAGGCTCATTGATTAGTCACTGGAAAGCAACCAATTTCATGTTATCTAGTTTTGAGTGCTGAATGGGCTCGATCGAACACTTTGCAATGTGGCCTCCAAGCTAGGAGGCTCACCGTAGCGATGCACTTCGGTGGATGTTAGTTGTTTGGAGGTAGAAAGACCTGGACCTGCTCAACAAATATGCAGAAGGAAGTGGAGATGGGTTGAGCTTGCACTGAGAAAACCATTCGGGGACATCATGCGCCAGGCCCTCGAGTGAAACAGATAGAAAACGGCGAGTTGGGCGTCCAAGGGTGAGATGGAGGAGATCTTGTGAGAAAGAAATGAGAGCTTCGGGGCAGTCGTGGAGCTAGGTTCAAAAGATTGCAAAGAACAGAGTGGGATGGAGATATGCTACTGAAGCCGTATGTTCCACTAGGAACCCAAGCGATAAATAATAATTATAACTTGAATACTACGACAATGCACACTCTTAGAGTTGATCCTCCAAACTAACGTTGAAGATCTGTTTGGCCATCTCAATCTCTCACTCCTTCAGCTGATGTCAATGTGTGATGAAAACTACTTTATTTTAAACATGCTGAAATTCATGCAAATGTCACTTACCTTTCACCTAGTATCCAATATCTGTGATATTATTCGATTAAATGTTTACAGAAATTATTCTATATAACAGTTTTTACAAGGCATGCTATACTTTTTACTGTTATCATCATTATTTTCTTAAGGCTTTTATGAATTTCCGTCGAAAAAGTACAGTTGGATGGAGTATAGGTAATATTGTACTAGATTTCAGTGGTGGAGTACTTAGCATTGCTCAAATGGTTACCATAGCTTATAACTACAGTGAGTAATAATCTTTCTTATGCCTTTTTATATCTTGGCTTTATGATTTACTCTTACTGGCATTCAACTGAACGATATCTACGAAACATTACGTCTAGTAAAGAGTTTTGCTTTGACGGAACTTTTATTTTATAACTGCATTGTGGATAAGTTAGTATGCTTTTGAAAACATCTTTTGTTGAAGTAATAAGTAAAATCTTAGGATAGTTTGGTATCCTGAATCCTTTTTTGGCAGAGTTAACTGTTTAATGTGAAAATCATAGGATGACACAGTATTATACATTTGACATCGAGCAGACACCAGCAATATAGGATTAGGCATATTGTACATCTACTCAAGTTGTCATAGTTCTTACAAGTACAGCACAGAGAATGTCAGTAAAAAGATTGAGTTGAAAACACTAGAATATATAAAAGGAAGTTGTAAAGGGAACGTCGCACGCTATAAAAATGAGTTTTCACCTACAGATTACAGCTATCCTGCGATTTTCGATAAAGGAAGCTGAAAAATGCCTATATGACTCAGACCAACAGTGAAAAACTTGATGAACTAAAAACATGCTCAAATTTAGTCACCGTAATGGTTTTCTAACATAATCTAACTCCAGCTAATTTGAACAGTAAGTTAAGATGTAAAAGGCGAGTGCAGAAAGTTAGTGCCAGTTATGCTAACCGTGAAAACCAAAACTTGGCAGTTATGAAAGTAGTTATTTCTCTCCCGGAGCTGAAGATCTTAACTACCCTGAAAGACATATAATATCAATTACAGTAGTACAACTATTATACGTTGGGGATGAAAACAATAGCCAGCCAACGATTAATAATATTGGCATCATAACTTTTATTTATTATTCGCCATGCCTTTATTGGCCTAATATAATTTTTATGTATTTTGGTTAATATTGGAGAAACTAAACAATCCGCTGGCTTCAAAATGATAACCGGAACAGGCTGGCTTCAGGAATAACAAATCATGTGCTGATCAAATTGCAACGCTATGTATCATCATAAAATAAAGCATAGAATGGCGGTCAACTCCTTGCCTCAACTTTATCTACTTTGAAAAGGCCTTCGATAGCGTCAACCGAGAAGTAATTAAGCAACTACTTCAACACTACGGTTTAAGTGCCACAAACCGTTATCAACCTTATTCAACAGCATCTATATACCGTATGATGCTACATGCCAAGTGGTTCACATTGGAAAGCTCGGTGATGCCTTTGAAGTGAAGACAGGAGTAAGACAAAGGCTGCCGTCCCCTTTGATCTTCCTAATTGTGATCGACTGGACTCAACTGGGTCATACAACAAATTGTGAGGAGCGAGAAGAGGGGCATAAGTTGAACCGATGAAAAGATCACAGAAGAGGATTTGGATTTAGCCGATGATGATTTATGTCTTATGTTGCACAAACTGGAAGATCTACATGCGAAAACCAACAAGTTGGCAGAAGAGGCAAAGCAGAGAAGAAGGAAATCCAGGTGAACGTGGAGAAGACAGAGGTGATGAAGATACCCAACTAACAACATCAACAACAACAAGCACCAATCACCATCAATGGGAAAAATTAAAAAGAAGTAGTCTCTTTCACCTACCTAACTAGGCAGCATTGTCTCAACTACAGGCGGCACAGATGAAACATCAAAGCCAGGATTGAGAAAGCCAGACAGGCCTCAATTAATCTGCAATCAGTTTGGAGACCTACTTCACTGCAGTCTGCATAAAGCGTGAACAAGATCCGGATTTTTAACTTCAATTCAGTGCTTCTATGTGGTGGTTGAGAGACTTGGCGTGTTACGAAAAGCATTTTCAACAAACTGCAGACATACATCAACAGCTGCCACCTACACTCGATACCAAACATCTTATCAGATGGCCAGAATAATAAGAATAAGGAACTCTGGCCTGGCAGCGAACTAACCAAGAACCCATCACTCAACAGATATGCTGAAGAAAGAGGAGATAGACTGGATTAGACAAACACTGAGAAGACCATTCAGAGACACCAAGCGTCAAGCTAGGCCTTCGAGTGGAAACCAAATGGGAAACGACGAGTTGAGCGTCCTAGCCGAGGGTGACATGGAGAAGATCGTGTGAGGAAGAAATGAAAGGTTATGGGCAATGGTGGAGCCAGTTGAAAAGACTGCAGAGAAAAGAGTGAAATGGTGACGTGCTACTGAAGCCGTATGTTCCACTAGGAACCTAAAGAACAAATAATAATTATTCTTAGTTGTCATCTAATTTACTACATTTTCTACATTCCCTAACTATTGATGAGTGCATAGACCAATTTGCTACTTAAATTTTATGTCAAAAACTCACTGAATTCGTATAAGAACCTGATATTTGCAGACATAATGATGTTTGATTATTTCAATTTGGAGGTTTATGGGAATTTATTTATTGATTTCCGGGTGGTATTCAACATGGACTGACATGAATTTGAGAACCATTGGGAACCTAAGAACACTTGGTATCTGTTTCGTCCCGGTACCGGACTACCCAGCAGTGAGCACCCGTGACCCCATGAAGGATCGAACCTATAACCTCCAAGTTCTACTGCTGGCAAGTTAACATTGGGCCACTGTGTCGGAATTTTTGGTGCATATTCGCCACTTTTATCAGTTCACGATATAACACAATCTCATCCTATGTCTTCGTGAGTAGCTGTCTTCATGTTCACCTTGGTTGACCGCACTGGTTACGACCTCATCTTTCGAGGCAAGTAACTAATAAGCACTAGCCTGATTATCATTTTAGAGCAAATCTAAAATTAGAGATGTAACATGTATCCTACAGTTGAATATTTACAAGCACTACGTGTTTCTAGTTGTCAAAAGTATGAGCGTTCTCATTATTGACACTATCTCCTTTTCTTTCATCAATTGTCAAATACACTTTTGAGCGTAATACAAACATGAGTATTTGTTCGTCAACTAAACTTTTGAGAAAGTCTAGTAATTGGGAGATGTGAGCGCTTCTTTCTTGAGCAGAAGTAAATACTTTACAGTTCATCAAGTAGTTCATCTTTGTACTGGGTGATGGTTGAAGGTCAGATGGAAATCTAGACCGTTGCCGGATTCGAAGCAGCGATCACCGACCGTGGTTCAGATTTTCATCTTACCTTCAATCATCACTCAGTACAAATACTACCCTGCCAAACTACGGCTATCTCAGATAGTCAAATGATAGTTCGTTTTTGTCATAATTGTCAGCAGTGGCTTCAGAACACAGGAATTGTGAGATTATAACAGGTCATTTGTACAAGGTTTGACTGTATTTCAATGAGTAGAACGCACTATTCACTTTTGTAATCAAGCTTATTGTGTTATTTAAATCATATTGAAGAAAGGTAAGTACTCAGTGTGTAGTGACTAACAAAGGCAGAGTACAATCCTATTTAGTATATCACAGTATAGGGGAAGTTAAATGCTCATGAGCACTGTTGGATTACGGTCACACCTTATGACAGACTACAAGAAGTTGCAAGGTTTCGGCCAAAGGAATCCAACTTAGTAGCTCAACGACTATTTGGTTGCACATTATCTGAGGTTGTTGAGTTCTCTTTTAAGCAGCCATGAGTGTAAACTACTAGGGAGATAATAGCTAGGATGGAATAGTTGTTTCCATTGGCTTTCTAGTACTGGTTATTTCACAGTAAACTTATTCTTCTCAGATAAAAGGTTATTTTATATTCCATCTGACCCAGTTTTGATATTGTTGATGGATGTTGGATAGCAGTGGAATCCAGGATGCCAATAGAAACCGTTTGATTCAGTCCGATCAGCGATGAAATAATACAGGCAACATCATATTGACTGTCTCATTCTGACTGGCAAATTTTTTCACTTTATACATTGAGATGCATAGTGTACTCACAGACATTTCCTTTTCTGCTGCCTTTCATATATGTAGATGACATCAGTAGCATTACTGGATCCCCAGTAAAACTTGGCTTGGGTATACTATCCATCGCATTTGATATTCTGTTTATGGTTCAACACTGGATTCTGTACCGTTCATCATCAAATCCTGAACAGTCTGTGACGCTAGTTGACAAAGAAAAAGAAGGTCAATCAATTATGGAACAGGAATAGTATGGTGAAGTATAAGTGTGTGTGTGTATGTGCATGAAAAAGCCATTGATTTCCAAGTGCAACTGACAATCAATTAATTTTCTTTGCCTATATATTTCCCTCATATTTCTATTTATTTTTACTATGGATAACTTTTTTAGGTGTGAATCTCCTTAGATTATCTTCTTCATAAATGAATGAGATTTGTTTTGATTATCATTATTTTCTTATACAATATCTAAGTGAATAGAAAAGTGACAAGATCAAAAGTTACTTTTCTACTGTTTAGTACAAATTTGATATGATTTGAAAGATGTTTACTTATTTTCACGTATTTTGATTTGAAATATGTAAAATCATGTTGGCTAAAATTTCTTTGAAATTACCTAATTTTTTATGAACTTTGGAAGAAAAGTAAACTGTTTGCATAGAAAAATGAAGTTCACATTTTGCTTTCTCTCAGTAGTCGTCAATTGTGAAATGGTTGATTCTACACGCATACACTGGGAATGTTTTTGTCAGCATTATGTTAGCGATTGGAGTATCATTTAAAATCAGAAGTCAGTGGAGATTTGTTCTGCTTAACTCTGAAATATCTTGGTGATACAAATGGATATTGTTTTATGATTATGAATGTCTACTATGAGCACACTAGAGTTGGATTATTTGAGTTCACTGCAAATTGCTAGTGTTACAAACAACAGCGATCTATTTAGTAGGATTATTTTTCAATGTCTATGCAAGTAGCCTTTGGTCGAGTTCAGTTTTTACCCTAACCCTAACAGTATTGAACACTGAATCCCATAACCGAAGTATCAAGGGTTTAGATGCTATAGGTTGTATTATGGACCTCCTTGCTTTCATTCATTCATGCAACTAGAATATTTTGAAGACAGTTACCAGCAGCTTAACTTTTCGTTAGTATTGGAATCATTAAGGTGTGGGCAATTTGAATATTCGTCAAATAATACTTGTTAAAATGAGATAGTTTCACTAATGAACACATGAGATTACTTCTGCTTCACAGAGTAAAGGCGAAGAATATGCTAGAGATTGTTTGCATGATATTTATTTGCCGTATTGATCATCCAAGATATACCGTAGTGAAGTAGACATTCTTTTCGACGTAAACAGGTACTTGTGATTGAAGGTTGTGTTTATATATACCTTTAGTTAACTATTCTGGAATTCAGTATTATGTCGAAGAAATTTATTTTTATCACCATCTAATTGGTATCGGTATGAAATTTGTAGCATGGAGACTAGACACATTGTAGTGGGTTGAATACTTTCAAGCCAGTGTGTTGGAGGAAATAAAAGCAGCTGACTATTTCTACTGGATGAGTTAAGCACAACTGACGCTTGGTATCTGCATTTTAAATGATTTTTTTTGAAGTGCAGTAAACCTTCAAGAATAGCTGATATTTAATCTTTATTAGCTATTAGTATCAAAATTCTTATCACATCGCTTCAATCATATTAGTCTTCTTTGTTAGAACTGATCCCTTTTATTCCGTTTTGATAAATGGATATAAAACTTTGAAAACAGCAGACTTTCATGGAAGTATCATAAAGTTATTTTCCCCCATTTATTCATCAAACTTCCTTACTTTCGTGGGATAGATTGTGGCCTAATATATGTTATATGTCGAAAATACTGGTGAATTCGTGAACAAAAAACTTCAGATATTACCTCTGATAGTCGTTCGATTACTCAAAAACATAAAGAATTTGCGAAGTATGTAAGACTTAATGTACACTTGTTGATAACAGTAATTATACTTCCCAGATAATGTGTTTGGTTTGGTGTAGGACCTCCAGTATGTAGTATTCTAGTAAATATTCAAGTATTCATGAAATAGCATCTCCGTAATTTTGTCACTCACAGGATTAAAAGTAGTAATATGTGATGAACAACTAATGTTGAATTCTCATCTGGTGGTTTGAATGTGAGAATGAATAGTAAAGTATGCAAGGCAATAGGTTGAAAACGCTTTTAAGTATGTGACAATACATACTACTGTTTGAAGGCATATTTGAACGAATAGACGTGAGCTAAAAGTGATCAAATTGACATTATATACTAGGTAGAATGTGTTTGGTAGCCCAAGTTTTAAGGAGGCAGCCAATATTGGCTTTGGTTATTTCAGGCCACTCTACAAGCACTCATTTCACCAATTCACCAACCAGATATTTATACATTGAGTCATGTGAATACTTAAAAGTACCTCAATAAACCTGATTGATCCTGAGTGTATTCAACAACTGGCTGTGTGGCTGAACAGGTTGCTTGATTTGTAATGCGAACTCCGGTTTTTAATTTTCACGGAAACTATACAAAGTGAGCTGGTACTCATCATTTTCATCGAACAGATTAGTTCAGTTATGTTTTTCTTCCAGTAAGGTAACAGGAACTTGATCATCATTCGTCGAATCTACATCCAGCAGTTGTAGTAGTAGCTGCTTAACAGCAGTGAAATAAGAGAACGGGTATTTCTAGGACTTCGAAAACCGACTATCAGTTCTTATATTGATACTCCGATATGATATGTGGCCATAAATTCTCTAAAATATCTTGAAGTTCATGATACTGGGTCTTCATGCACCATATACAATAATTCTTGTCAACCACAATGCCTAGATTTTACTACTACTCCACACTGAATTATTGAAAGATGTACCATCAACCTGAACGTCACTGATTTGACGTATAATGTCTTCGTTATCGAATTCTGCTTTACTACAAGGATATTATGTCTGCTAAAAGCTCCAAATAATCAACCTTTTGATATCTCTCTATTGCATAGAATGTATAAGCTTAGCATGTGGTAACATTATTTTATGTAACCAGTTAAGTATGTCTGATTCCTGTTTAGCAAACAACGTGGTAACTAAAAGCAAATGACTTCCTGAAGACCTATGAGTAACATCGTGTTCCGTATGCTTACTTGTGTATGCACAAATGTGTACCCTGAGTAATCATCTAATCTACACTGTTTGATTTAAATTTCGTCTATCAAGAAAAGTAAGACTTAGATAACTCGAAATCTATCAAATGAGAGTTGAGTATTTCTGACTGATATTGATATCCTGGGCTGGTTTGTCTCAAACAGTAGTTTTGTTAAGGCTAACTGGCTCATCATGTAGATAAGTGTGAGACTTTACAGTGAATGACATACAAGTAATAACAATCTTCAAAAAGGCAGCAAATTACTTATCAGGAGTTACATAATATGGGTAGGGATTTATTTATACTAAGGAAATAAACAGTAAACACTGAAGAAAACTTTAGGAGTACAAACTTAAGCTATCAAACTCTTATGAGATGATAACAACAGACATATTGCAGTTATCTTAAACTGGAAATCATGGTTTTTTCCTCCTTGTCATGTGTCTAAAACTATTTCTTTCATTCAAGTTTGAAGGATTTTTGCCAAAGATACTGCAAGTTGATGTAGTGTTCATGTACAGAGCTAAATACACATTCCTGTTCTCTCTTCGCAAGCTACGTTAGATAAGGTTCACAAATACATTTAACAAACAGGCACACGATGTAGTCAATGTATTCAGGTTTATAGGAGCGATTAAAGTTATAAACGCGGACTTGTTTCGTACAATGCGTTCAATTGTTTTACTCTAGTTAAGTCATTGTTAATTGGAAAATATGACTGGAAGCTAGGTAGGTAGTGTAACGTTTATCTTAGATGTCGTGATAATCACATTCTGAGAACATCTGTTAAATTCTGAGCTATGAATTAAAAGTTCAATAGCATCATCTTCCTCAGAGGTAGATGTATGAATAGATGTCAATGGGAATTCATACTCTTTTTCGGACGTTCTCTACATCCTTTCTTGAAGTTTATATAGGAATGAGTGGAATTCTTCCTCCTACTTTGGTGAAGCCGACGCTGAAAATCATCAAATGTTTGTTCTATTCGACCTTGCCGTAAATAACTCTCTGAGATGAATCATCATTTAGAATCTAAAATTACCGTGGGATGACACATTAAACAGGTTTTAGGAGTGAATTTGAAAGTTTGGAGGTGTTTTGTTCAACGTTTTAGTATTTTACAAGTTCATTATTCATCAGTTAGTTAGGAATTGACAAAGACTAAAGACTAAATAAATCGGAAGTTAAAATAGACAGAAGAATTTCTTTAAAGTTATGATGAAGTTTGCTGACATCTATTTCACAGAAACTAGAACTTTTGAATGATTCGAACCAGGATACATTTCAAAATCTTTGAGTTTATTGGTTTCAATATCTAGAAATATGGGTCATCTATGAAGCAGAATGTAACTCAACATTTTTAACTCAAATTTCGATTATTTGAATTTTTGATCTTATAAATTTCTTTTATTGAAATGATCTTATTTAACCTTGTTATTAGTAGGTGAATACATTCTGAAAATGCTTCATAAAAAACTTTCATGGAGCCAAGAAAATGCAATGCACTAGCATCTGTAAGGTGTCAGACTTCAGAAAAATATATTTACATTTTTGAATCACCACGTTTTATGAACAAAATGAACTGAATTACGAAAAAGACATTTATTCCTCGATTTAACAAGTTTACAGTTACGGTGACTTCAAGATGAATACATTAACACATTGTTACTGTCTGTTGATTTGGGCAAGGATCAATGGATTTATTCTTTGGAAAAAATTGTTCTTTTGTAAGTACCTCCTTGTCAATCATAATATAAGTTCTCTGTGTGCATTACTTTGATATTCCTCTCTGTGTTTACATATTTTATGGAGCATTATGTTCTTGGATAGTTAGTTGTAGTTGTCTGCGGAGTAATTCTTTACTTGCTTCAAAGATAGAAACACTGAGTCGTTTTCTAAACACCATCCACAGTTAGTAATATTATTTACTTGTTTGTGGCTAACAGAGGAATTCAGGACTCAAGTTTCATCCAATTTAGAGCTTTTTGGTCTCTATGGCTTAGTGGATAACGTTTTGGGGTTTGAAGGGTTGGGTATGAGGTTTGAGTCTTAGTGGAAACAATACCAATCACTGGGGTGCAGGTAAATACAGCTGAAGTGACAGATGTCCTGAATTCCTCTGCTAGTCACAACAAATGAATTACTGTGCTAAATATTCAGGCAATATCGGGACATCTACATGGACGTTCATTTGCCAATAGAGGCTGATCGATTCGATCCAATATAACAACAGAGAGTTAGAGAAATATCAACAAATTGTCCATATTTATTATTACTATTTTTCTCTTGGGTTCCTAGTAGAACATACGGCTTCAGTAGCACGTCCCCATTTCACTCTCTTCTCTGCAGTCTTTTCAACATGGCTTCACCACTGCCCAAAGCTTTCATTTCTTCCTCACACGATCTTCTCCATGTCACCCTCGGTTGGGATGCCCAACTGGTCGTTTCCCATTTGGTTTCCACTCGAGTGCTTGGTGCGTGATGTCCTCAGTCAGCCTTCTCAGTGTATGCCCAATCTATTTCCACTTTCTACTGCAATTTATTTTAAAATACACGACAATACATGGGAATTTTCAACAGAAAGTGAACTTTTTGCAAGAGCATCCAAAAATGAATAACGCTGTGAGAACACTATTTGCAGAGCAAGGTGGCGTCATTTAAAACTCATCAGTTGAAGCCAACTGAATAAATAAATAA